ACGACACAGCGGAAATACTGCTCCTTGCGCACGCTCGGCTCGACGCCCTTCTTGGTGCGTATCAACAGATAGATGGCATTCAGATTCGCGCAGCTGCGCAACAGTTTCTCTACAAGAACTTTGCCCATGAAGCCCGTGGCGCCCGTTATCAATATCGTTTTGCCGGCATAGAAATTGGCAATATCCGATACGCCGGAATCCGAATCGGTTTCGTTGTGCAGTAGCTCCATGCTGTTTGGTATGCCGGATTGCCGAATCGGGTGTGTGCTGCAAGAGGAGTAGAAGAGTTCAATTAGATCATATGCAATGCTCTGTCTGTTTGTGTGTGTGTGTGTGTGTGTGTGTGTGTGTGTGTGTGCACTTTGTTGTCATTGCAAATTAAGATCTAATACGGAGGCCCACTTGTTGAGTGTGTGCTTAACCCACTTACACTGCAAATATTCTATTTCAATGTCAGCTTTTACGAAATACATATCCAACACCAAAAGCAACAACAACAACAACAACAATAATAACTCGGCTGTAATTGGCGTGAAGGGAATTTTCGACCTCTGTTTACACTTTTGTTTCCCAGCCAACGCCAGACTTGATTTGTTTTTATTATTGTTGTATTTGTTGTTGTACATTTATGTGGTTAAATAAACAGCATTAAGTTTAAAGAGCTGCGTTAACAGGCAGCTCATTTGTTTGTTTTTAAGTTTTTTTTTTTTTTTTTTTGTTCAGTTTATTAAGACATGCGCGCTTATTTGGAAAGAAAGAAAGTAATATGTTTAGATTTTAGATTTTATTGCCAACAACAATTGCTGCAATTAACCAAATGCGGCTGTAAACCCAGTTTTGAGAGCTTGTAATATATATTTTTTTTAATAATAATATTTATGCATAATTATGTGTATGCGAGCCGAAAATTTCAACAGCAACAAAAGGCAAAGGGTTACAGGTCAAAGTTAATTAACCAAAAAGTTTGTGCTATTAAACAAAATTCTGTGTAATTTATGCGCCAGGCGACTTTATAGCTTAAATGTATAATAATAAAATAAATAAATAATGTAAATAATAGCCTGGCCAGCTGGTTGATGCAATCACAAAACGTTGCATTTGCCTTCTAGCCAAACAAAAGACTTGGAACACAAACTTGATTGGCTGCGCGGCCTGCGATATGCATCTATTGCAATATTTGCCATTAATTTTGGCGCTCCTCCCCCCTCCCCCCTCGCACTTACACCCCACCACTCATCTATGCCGTTGCAGATTTTTCGTGCACACACACACACACACACACACACACACACACAGAGACTCGGCAAATAGGCTTTGCGCCTGCCTCCGGGCAACAACACGCTTCTCACGCTTCTGTCTTTGGGTCGGGTCAACAATACAAATGGTTATTCACGTAATATTCACGAAATTATGACACTTTATTTGATTTTGTTTTTTTTTTTTTTTCATTTTCATTTTCGCACTGTGATAGTTTGCTTTTGTTTTGTTGGTTTTTGTCTTGTCGCTTTGTAAATTGTTAAAGTTGTGCATGCCACAGGCAGTCACAATGGCATAGTTCACAATAGTTGCGTTTAAGGACCCAAATCAGTAACTTATTTAGCGCCTAATTAGCGCATGCTTAGCATATACAGAAGCTCTTGCCGCTTTGTTTTCTTTAATAATTAACGCCGACGCTTAAACACAGGCGCACATTTATTTATTTTGAAACTGAAACTCACTTTTAAAGTTGTATTTTTTGTTGTTTTTGACTTTGGCTCCGCTGCTGCTAAAAAATTGTTCGAATTGAATCAGTTGAATACTCAGCAGCGACTGAGCACAAAGCGGGCAATTGGCTTGAAGTTATACTCGTCGTAAAGGAAATTTAACGGCGTCACCACACACACACACACACACAGACACACACACACATGCACAGACATGATTTGCGGTTCATGCGCAGCGCGTATGTCTGTCGCAGCAGCTCTGTTTGTGTGTGTCTGTCTGTGTGAGTATGTTTTGTATAATAAATGCACATGCATGCATTTTAGTTAGACGCCACTTTCCGGGTAGTCCCAAAAGCATTTTGAGGCCCGTCTCAACATCAATTACAGGGTATTTTAATGAAATCAATTAAAGGCCACTTGCGAATGTCTACATATGTAAGTGCAAGGGCAGCATTTTTTGTGTCAAGCCACTCAAAAGTGAACAGAGAAATATGTGTAAAACAAAATATAAGAAAGAGCCCAGAAAAAGGACAGGCCGCCGCCTCAGCTGCAGCCGAGGCCAGCAAGTCGAGTCGAGTTGGGCTCGATGCGACCCTAAAAGTGCATGTCATCCACAGCATACATGCATACACATGCATGCATGCATGCATATACATGCATACACATGCATGCATGCATGCATATGCATAAGCTTGCACACATGCGCACAATCTGCATTTGGGAAAATACACCGTTTTTTTTTGTTTTATTCGGAACCTGCTCCATGGCAAAAATTGCGATAATAACAAAGAAAAAAGCTGTGCAACTGGTTAGTTAGCCCGAATCTTGAACAGATCCCGAACGGAGCAAAGTCCCGCCTTCCAGCTCAGGATGGGTCTTGGTATTTCGCAACCATAAAACCAGAAATCACCATGACGACCTTGACAACTGATTATTCACCTGATGTCCGTTACGTTTTCATTTTCACTGGTTGTTGGCCCGTTGGGCAGCTAATAATAGAGTGTTCCTTTGATCGCGATGACATAAGCTGTTTACTTTCAACCAGCGAGGGTGGGGGGGGGGGGGGGGGGGTGTCATACTAAGTGCTTCTGTAAACAGAGGAAGTTGTAGAATTTCGGCATAGACTTCTCACCAGCCCGCAAATTGTTGGCTCAAAATTCGTTAAGATTTGTATTTTGATTTTCATTTGTAATCAAATGATGCGGAAAGGTTGTTGCTCATTTTAATTAGACGTAAATCACACCGTTTGGTCAACAACATTTTTGTGCGGTAATAAATTTTTTTTATATTTTATATCTATATTTAATAGTTAGGTCATGAATTTAATTGGCTAGCGGCTGAATTTTTTTTTTTTTTTTGTATGCTTAAATTTTGAATGTATTTAAATGCAATATATTGAAAATGAATGTACATTAATTTGCAGCCGCTCGCTTAAATAAATTGTTATACTCTTGCAGAGGGTATTATAATTTTGTCGTGAAATGTGTAACGCACAGAAGGACCCCGCATAAAGTATATATAATCCTGATCAGCATCAACAGTTGAGGCGATATAGGCATGTCCGTCTGTCCATCTGTCTCTCAGTTTTGAAACTTCGTTGAAGTCCCTTTTTCATACATATGTCAAAACCAGCCGGATCGAAGCACTATACAATATAGCTGCCATAGGAACGAACGGTCGAACAGACGTCGTTAACTATTTTCCCTGTGCTTCCTAGATACGGGCTTAGCATTATGACAATGTTGGGTCTGCAAGGGTATTAGATCTTCGGCCTGCCGAAGAGAGCCATTCCTTCTCGTTTATTTGTTTTCTAATTGCTTTAATTTAATTGAATTTCAGTCGGTTTCCAGTTCCATAAATCAAACACGTGTGGCAAGGAAATCGAGCCAGCTGCTGGAATTGAAAAGTAATTTTTCGAATTAATCGCCAACTATTTAAGGTAGTTAAAATGTTTGACCTGAGGTCAAGCAGCATTTGGTAAATACTTTTGATGTATCCATATAAATATGGGTTAGGTAATTAAATAGAGGTGTGCTCCTCTTCCACTCAAGACGGGCTGACGTGCGTTATGGATCTTGGGCAAATATGTGCTAGTAAATGGTTAACTGCTTTGCTGGTATTTTTTGTTTCCATTTTTTACCTACTTTACGCACACCTAAACGACTTTTTAATTAGCTGTTTTCCACTCAAAACAAGTTGAAATCGTTGTATGAATTACAAACTAACTAAATGAATTAAATATGGAATGCATTGTAAAAACAAGTTTTCAATTCACAACTTGGGATATGTCTCAGAATTCCATGGCTCGATATATGAGCCTTTAATTGCTTGGATTCATAAGGCTGACAATAAAATCATTAGCTAGCTTAAATTCGTTTTTAAATTCTTAAAATCCCTTTGTCTTATGGATCTCTCGGCAGCTAATGTTTGGTTCCTTTCCCAAGACAAACCCCTATTAATACTCCTTTGCGGGGTATCTCAGAGTCGAGCTGCTTGTCGCCAGCTCGTCATCAAAATTTGAGTCGAACTACTTTTGAACCAAACTACGTTTTAAGTGATATGTGTTTTAGACACCTTTATTAACAACTTACGAGCTAATTGTATTCATTGAGTGCTTATTAAACAGCCGCGTTTAATAATCTTAACAAATACACAATATATTGTATATTATCCAATAATATCTCAGCTCAAAAAACCGGTTGAGTCTAAAGCAACAACTCGACAGATTCGAATGCAATTGTAAATGTTACAAAATCCTTGTTCGATTTTTGCATAATGTCGCTAGACAAATACGGAAAAACAAACTGAATCTATACCAATTATCAAAGAGTTAATACTAATTTATGTCAACAATTTTATTGAAAAGTGTTTTGTTTGACATTTATCAATTAAAATGATAAAGAACTAGGCGAGGATCTAAAATATGTTCGGATATACTCAATTGCATTCGAATCACCCATCTATAAAACGAAAAAATGTAAATAAGTACTCGATCGAACCCGTGAGTCACAAATGTGAGTTCCCCCAACGGCACGCGGAAATCATATTAACATAAATTATCGATAGCCGCCTACTCTATGCAGAAATCGATAAATTTACTGAGTGCTTTTTTTGAATCGAATATCCGGCTGAAAGCTAAACTACAACTGGGAACCACTTTCGATTTGTGCATTTCCTTATGGTAAAAAAGCATTTAACCCGTTCTTGAAATTCAATTTAGTCATACTCATATATAGATAGACTCCACTATATATACGATTGATATATGGTATGTATATTTTAAAAACAAAACAGAAATTCGCAACGAATTAAATTAGAGCATTTTTATCGAATCAAAATTCATGCAAGTAGATTAAAAGTTTTAACAGCTAAAACTATTTTTGAAAATTAGAGTCGTGATGGTTATATTCAATGCGGGGAATCGTTTAGTAGCTGCGTCCGAACAGCGTGTAGAACTTGGGCTTGTTTGTGCAGGCGGGATTGATGCACTTGTCGCTGTCGACAATCTTCGCGGGCTGGTCGAAGGGTATGCACAGCGTCTTGGCGCCCATGGCCGGTGCGCCGGGTTCGGCCTCCTCGCCGCGTGCACTGTCCGCTTTGATTTTGTCCTCGCAGGCCGTGTCGCCGCAGAAGGCGGCGAGCAGCATATTCTTGTTTTCCAGCTGATTGCAGAAATCGGTCCAGCTGCTGACAATCTTCGTGTGCGACACCAGATCCAGCTGCGCCTTGGCTAGCATGCTCTCGTGTATGGTTTCGAGCAGAGCGGGAATCTTCTTTTCCACATCGGCCAGGGCAATGGTCAGCTTTTCGCCGGTGTCACGGCGCACAGCGACAATCTGCTTGGCCTGCATATCCTTGGGGCCCAGCTCGATGCGTATGGGCACACCCTTGAGCTCCCAGTGATTGAACTTCCAGCCGGGCGAGTAATTGTCACGGTAATCGCCCTCGCAGCGCACGCCGGCGCCATTCAGACGCTTCTCCAGCTTGTCACAAGCCGCCAGCAGCTGGGCGCGCTCCTCGTCCTTGGTGTTCACCGTAATGCCGCAGGGCACGACAATAGCCTGCACACAGGCCACATGCGGCGGCAGCACCAGGCCCTGATTGTCCGCATGCACCATGATCATGACGCCAATCGTGCGCGTTGTAATACCCCACGAGTTCTGGTAGACATACTGCTTCTGCTGCGTCTCCGGATCCTCGTACACAATCTCGAACATCTTGGAGAAGTTTTGGCCCAAGTGATGACTGGTCGCACCCTGGATGGCACGGCCCGAGGCAGAAATGAATGCCTCCACTGTCGTGGTATAGTCACCGCCGGCGAACTTCTCCTTTTCGGTTTTGCGGCCCTTCACGACAGGTATGGCCAGCAGATCCGTATAGACTTGCGCGTATAAATCTAAAATCTCTAGAACTTCCTTGTCGGCCTCGGCCTTACTGGCGAACGCCGTGTGGCCCTCCTGCCAGAGGAACTCGCGTGTGCGCAGGAAAGGTTGCGGATGCTTGAATTCCCAGCGCTGTGAAAAATAACCAGGTGAGGATCATGGATTATGGATAATGGCATTCGGTATATTTACCACAACATTGTTCCACTGATTGAGGCGGATGGGCAAATCTCTGTAGGATTGTATCCACTTGGCATAGGCGGGGTACATAACAGTTTCCGAGGTGGGACGCACAGCAATTGGCTCGGCCAAGTCGGAATCACCCGACTTGGTAACCCAGGCAACTTCCGGGGCAAAGTCCGCTATGTGGGTCTTCTCACGCTCCAGCGCCGCCTTTGATACAAAGATGGGGAAGTAGCACTCCTTGACGCCCATACGCGTGATCTCCGCATCGAACCAGTTCCTGATGCACTTCCAAATGGCAAAGGACCAATGGCGCAGTATATAGCAGCCGGACACATCGTAGTATTCAATCAGTTCACCCTTGGTTATCACTTGCGAGTACCAATCCGGCAGATTGTCCTCTTTCGTCGCCTCCAGACCCAAACGGGTTTGTTTTTTCACGCCAGCGGCGGCATCTGGTTTGGCAGCAACAGCAGCTGCTGCTTCTTTCTTGGCTGGCTTAGGGGCCTTCTGCTGTGGCTCCTTGGGCGCCTTCTTGGCGGCGCCTCCAGCTCGACCAGCAACGGGAAAATCGGTACCCGTGACCTCCTTGTACTTGGCCTTAAGCGCCAATAGCTTGCGCACCTCCTCATCGATGACATCCTTGGCAGCATTGCTGCCCTTGGCAGTGCGCACCTTTTCGCCCTGCGCATTAATGTCCAGCGTCAGCTGCTCCTTCTCCGACGTAGCCATCTCCACTTTAGCCTCTACCTTGGCGTCAGGTGTCCAATCTTTGCCCGTTAGCTTTTTGTAATCCGCCTTCAGAGCCAGCAGCGTTTGTACCTCGGGATCGATTGTGGCCTTGGCTGCCTTTGCCGACTTTAGCTGACGAATTTTATCGCCCTGCGCTTGAATCTTGGCCAAGATGCTGGCAATGTCGCCACCGCCAACGCTGGACTCGTCAGCAGTCAGGTCAATGGTCGCAACTGGTGCAGCTGCTGCAGCTGTGGGCGCTACGGTGCCTGGCTTCCACTCCTGACCAGTCAGACTTTTGTAGTCCGTCTTCAGAGCCAAGAGCAACTTTACCTCGGCGTCGATCAGCGACTTTTCCGACTTCGCCGACTTCAGCTGCCGGATCTTGTCGCCCTGCTGCGCGATCTTGTCCAGCAATGTGGCCACGGCACTGGCCGCAACGGGTTCCGGTGACTTTTCCTGCTTAACCTTGATGACGGCAGGCGCTGTGGTGCCCGGCTTCCAGTCGCTGCCGCTGAGCTGCTTGTAGTCGGCCTTTAAGCTCAGCAGCGTCTTGACGGCGGCATCGATTGCGGTCTTGTCCGCCTTGGCTGCCTTCAGATCGCGCACCTTGTCGCCCTGGGCAGCTATTTGGGCCAGCACAGTGGCAACGTCTGTGGAGGCTGGAGTGGTGGCAGGTGGTGGTTGGCCCTGCTGGCCAATCTGTTTGTCCAATTCGGCCGTGTTATTCGTGATCTTATTGCTGGCAGCCTGCAAACACGAAAGTTAGCCCAAGTCAGGTTAAAATAATGCAAATGAAGCACTCGAAAGTCTTTTGAGTACGTGTCAACAATTTTACTTTCAACTTCGCGTGCTTCTTCTTTTTTCTGTTTGTTCAGCAGAAGCTATCGAAAGAAACGAACCGATCGCAGCGACGTCTGCAGTCAACTGGTTTTTGGCCCTTGTCGCTTGACGTTGGAGATGAGCAACAGAGACGAAACTGTGACTGTGATCGAGGTGAGTAAGAAGTAACTATTCCGTGACTGAAAACTGTGAAAACTCTGCTGACTGTGTACTATTTATATATTTTTTTTTAGATATTTCCGAAATTGATTAATTCCTTTAACACAATTAAAAGGCAGTTTACCAAATATTTAAATATTTGCCGTACGGAAATGCCCTTCTATGCGATTCTCATAATTTCAAGTATGGTTCGTTCTACTGATCTAAACTATACTAACTGATCTATAATGTGAGATCAGATTATGTGAAAATCCGCTGACTAAGTATTTATATTTTTTTTTTATATTTTGGAATTTAACTGAATTTGTTTAACTCCAGCTTATATAACCATAAAAATATTTGAATATATAATATTAGTTATTTACAACTTATTATAAATTATATACTGCCTAATTGTGAATCACCCTTCTATGCGATTCTCATGATTTCAGTGAAATTTTCCCTCTTTATATTTATCTCAAATTGACATTCTCTTTAACTTTTATCCGACTCTCTCACTCTCTTTAGCTTTTACCTTAATCTGCTTCCCTCATTCTTAGTTAAACCCTTTCTCTTACTTTCTTATAGTTTGAATAATGATTATTATCTTATTTGAATCTTACTTCATGCATTCTTTAATCCCTAGCATTCTACACTTTTACAGGGTATCTTCCACACTACACTTGAATACGAATTGGTAGATTGCACTTACGTTTGTTTTGGCAGCCGGCGTCGGAGCAGCGTTGATCTTTAGACCCGAGGAGGGCATGTCCTTTGTGTGGCCATCGGGTATGGAGAAGAGTATGATGGGCGAGGCGACATTTGTGTAGGGACTGGGCGGGGCATATGCGTTGTCCACCTTGAAGAAGCCGCGACGTTGCAGCTGAATGATGTCGCCCTTTTTGCATTTCTTGAGCTCGGGATCGCCGAGCATCTGGACTTCGTCGCGCGTCTTGTGGCCAATGTACTGCTTGAAGTCCTCGTCCTTGCCCAGGACCGCTTTGCTGATGATGTTATCAAAGTAGACGCAAAACGTGGGCGGATAGGCGCTGGCATCGTCCTCTACAGCGAGCCAGGTGAGTTTCAAGGTCTTCTTAAAGTCCTTGTTGTCCAAATTGAGCGCTGCATCCACCGAGGTGATGGCGCCGGCGGCATCCTTGTGCACCTTCTTGATGAGCAAATTGCCCCAGTTGATGAAGGTCGCGTTCTCGCCCTCTTTGAGCGCCTCAGCGTCCGCATAGTCTATGTAAATGCGCGGACCCAATGTGACCGTCTTTGTGCCAAGTTTCTCGTCCTTGGGATGCACAGGCACCTGCACCTTCTCCAACTTGGCACCTGCCACGTTCACAATGATACGCTTGTCGTGCTCGAGTGCCGTGTAACGCGGCGCAATGGGATCAATGACCTTCTTGTTGAACGCCCAGATCTTATCCCAGTTCATAAAGACCACCGATTTGCTGCTTCCCTGGGCAATGATGAACTCCTTGAGTCCCTCGACCGTCATGCCACGTCGTATGATGCCGCGCACCGTGGGAAAACGTGGATCGTCCCAGCCATCCACCAGGCCCGATTCCACAAACCACGTGAGTTTCCGTTTTGACAGCACCGTATTCGTCATATTAAGCCGACTGTATTCCCAGATGTAAGGCTTGCGCAGTTTCAGTGCATCGATAAACCAATAGAACTGATCATCCCGGTCGTGGTACTCCATGGTGCGCAACGTGTGCGTCACATTCTCAATGGCATCCACAATGGGGCAGGCAAAGTCATAAGTAGGATAGACCCTGAGGATTAGAAACAGGCACTCGGTCAATTACAACCAGAAGATGGGTACAGGGTATCTCCTCACTTGTATTTGGTGCCTGTGCGCGGATGTGGCTCGTTCTTGCAGCGATATATGGTCGGATCACGCATGCAGCCGTTGGGCGAGGACATGTCAATCTTGGCGCGCACACAGCACTTTTGGCCAGCCTCAGTGCCCTGCAGCATCTGCTGCCACAGCGACAGATTCTTTTCAACAGCTAAAGAAGATGCTTTGGATTACAAAATCAAAGAACTTGACAATGATCTTAACACCTACTGTTGGAACGATTCGCGGACTCGACGCGCTGTTCGCGTTCCAGCTTCATTTGCTCGGGCGGCGTATCGTCCACGTAGGCCTTGCCCTCCTTCAACATTTGTACGCAGTATTCAAGCATGAGATCAAAGTAGTTGGAGGTGTGCGTGAAGACGTCCGGCTTGATTTGCAACAGCTCCAGATCCCCGAGTATGACATTTTCGAATTCTACTGTTTCTTTGGCAGGATTGGTGTCGTCAAAACGCATTATCAGTTTGCCCTGGAAGGCCAGGGCGTAGTATTGATTGAGCAGCGCCGCCTTCGCGTGTCCAATGTGCAAATAGCCGGAAGCCTCCGGCGGGAAGCGCACCACAACTTTGCCCATCTCAGCGCCGGGCAGCTCTACGAATTTGCCCTCCTGCTTGCGCTCGCCGCTCTTTGCCGCGGGCTCATTGGTGCTACGCTTGACGCGCGCCTCCTCCGGCAGGGACTGCAATACCTTCTGTATCAGGGGCTGGGCACTGATCAGATCATACCAGCGCTGCACGTGCTGTGGTATGCCCTTGGCGGAGAGGAACTCGTAGCGCGAGTGCATTTCATTGAACAGCGCAAAGTCGGCAATGGTCAGCTTATTGGCAACCAAATACGTAACGGGCGCAATGGACTTGTCCAGGAAGGACATGGCCCACGATATGTCATCCTCGCAGGTGAGTGAGAACGACAGCCAGTGATCGATCTGTGTGCGCTCAATCGCCGTCTCGCCATACAGCTTATGATCGGGCGAAGCACGCGCCAGCGCGCGCAGCACATCGTTGTTCGAGTGGCAAACCAGGAGACGGTTGTCCGGGAACTGCAACGAGGTTTCCTTGCTCCAAACAATTTCCACGGGCACCGATGAGTTGATCAAATGCGCCGTTGCCAAACCGCCTGAGTGTATAGGGGGGAGCAAGTGTTATTTAATTGATCAAAAACTGATGCAATCCGATATATTCAGTGCATAAATAGATTTAAGCGCAGGCAATACCGAATTTAACCATAACCTCACAATATTGCAGGCACTCGATTCACTGAATTACGCCCTAACGGTACTCACTTATGGGTGGATTGTTAACGTTTGCCTTTAGCTTAATAGACATTTTGCCTATATTCGTATATACGTTTGCAAACTAAACTCAAATTATGAAATTGTTCGACTTATATGCAGGTGCACGGCAAGCTGCCACAACGTCGCTTTTATTTTGATGAAAGAGGAACTAAATCAATGAACTAGATCCGTTAGCTACTGAATAGTTATAGTGATATTCCCAATTTCGATTTTAATGCTGCGAACAGCTGTTTGAAATTTATTTAAGTGCCTTTACGGCCAACATATTTTGAACATTATTGGAATAATTAAATAGGGTATTTTTTAAATGATTGGTAACACTTGGAGCCAAATATTTAGCAGTATAGGTATTAATCGATTTTTATTTTTGTTAATCGATAGTTCGGATATTTTTGCCATTCACAGTGAAATGTGCTACAGCTGTTCGTGTGCCTTCACAGTGACTGTCAAAATTGGTTGAAGAAGCATTTTTTCTTGATGCACTGCGTGAAAATTTAAAAGCTTTTTTAATATTTCTTATATTTGCGCCGCTAAAAACCTAAAAACTCACAGCTGCAACAGTTAAAATGGTTAGTCAATTGAGGCTTATAAAAGTTTCGCTTAAGTAAATGTAAAAATGAAGTTAGGGCTTCCGCCGTCCTGCTACGCTGGCCAATTGCACTCACCTGAGTCACCTTTTTGAGGTGGAAGAAGGCGAGGTCTTCGCACCCATTTACCGCTGCTAATTGGTGTACTTATACGTTATAGATGCTTTTCATGCTGCTGTTCAGCCGTCAGGGCAAATTGCGGCTGCAAAAATGGTATATGGCCTATCCGGACAAGACCAAAAAGAAGATAACACGTGAGCTGGTCACAACGATATTGGCGCGCAAGCCCAAGATGTGCTCGTTTCTCGAGTGGAAGGATTGCAAAATAGTCTACAAGCGGTATATATAAACTGTTATCATACACAGCCAACTGTTGTAGTTGACTATTTTGTGTTATTATTGCAGCTATGCCAGCTTGTATTTCTGCTGCGCCATCGAGCAGAACGACAACGAGCTGCTGACACTGGAGATAATCCATCGCTATGTCGAGCTGCTGGATAAGTATTTTGGCAGCGTAAGCTATATAATAATATACATGTATATTGTGTGTTCAGTAATGTGTATGTCACTTGCAGGTCTGCGAACTGGATATCATATTCAATTTTGAGAAAGCGTATTTCATATTGGATGAGTTGTTGATCGGCGGCGAGATTCAGGAGACATCGAAGAAGAATGTCCTGAAAGCGATTGCCTCACAGGATCTGCTACAAGAGGTCAGTACACCCGAGATATATGAACTATAATGCCTAGCGTTGTCTGTATATATATAAGAATATCTTTATATATGCCGGATATATTGTTAATTGTTCCACATATCTATGCAATACGCTGGTTTATCAATTTTGTTCTCTTTAGTTTTTTTTTTTTTTAATATCTTTGTTTTCATGCAACTTTTTAAAAAGCCATTTCATGCATATATCACTCGTTTCAAGTTCTACTACTTAATTATTGTTTTGACTTTCTCTACTCTTCTGTAATTTGTGCAAACGAAACTAATCGACTCTCTTTCTCTCTATATATACATATATATATATATATATACATCTAACTGAATTTTATGATATTGAACACCAAAAAATGAACAGCAAGAAGAGTTCTTTTACTCACTGCAATAGCCAACTATTTACGCAATTATATTACAATTATTCAGTGAAACTGTTATTATGCTTAAGTTTAATCAATTTGTAAACAGATTTTATGATTTGCGTATATGATTTGTCAATGCATGCCACAGGCGCGTCTCTCAATTCAATGTTCCGAAACAACTTGCCAGCTAGAAAAAAGCGAAAAAAAAAAAAACATTTATAAGAAAAGTAATTGAATGCGTTTTATCACAAGTATTTAGCTTGCCATAATTGTTAATCCTATAGAAAGTTATTCAATTTAGTTCCGTCCATTTAACGTATATATCTAGAAATGTATTGCCATTAATTAAAATGTAGTCAAATGTGTTGTAGTACAATTTGTGTATTGTTGTTGTCTTTTACCCAAAACTAAACATTATCGAGCAGTTATCAAGTTATTTGTTTTGCATGATCTTTGTAGCTTGTGGTACCATGCCTTGTTTTTCGTAATACTCTAATCGACTAACTAACTAAAATTAATCCAGACACACAAAACTTATATCTAAATGTGTAACCATAATACCCTCTCTCTTGTTATTATTATTAACGCTTGCCCCACCCGCCACTGCATATATCGATGTTAATACAACCATCAACAGGACTTCAATGAGTATTTAAACTAATCAAAAAAAAATGCATTAAACAATAATAATATCAAAAATAAAGAAGATTCCTTTTACCAATACAACAGTTTGTAGGTTTGCTGAGCCTTAAAAAGAACCCGCTTTAGTCAGGATTTATGTTTTCGTTTAACAAAGTCAAGATTGTAAATATATATTGCATAGCTTTTTTTTCTCCCTCTGTTTTGGCCGGCCGCACACATACATACATAAGAGATTGTGTTCGCTGCAATGCGTAGTTTGTGTACCGTTACGCCCTGCCCACGCCACGCCCCGTGCGCTTGCAATACATACGCATACACATACATGCCATGTACAAATAACTGTTAACACATTGCTCACACACCGTTACAACGAGCTACATACAAAGCTGTGCCGTGCTCTTCTTCTTTTAACAACAACAACTACAACAACATGTAACACATGAACTAAAAGTAAATTAAATTCACACACACGCACACACACATACACTCACACAGCTGCTACACGTACACGTACACGTTTTTTCTATGTATCTACTCTTCTTGTTCTTATTGTTCTTATTCTCTGTACTCCAGGACGAAGCTGTTGAGGGCACTTTAAGAGACATTGGACTACTCTAAAAGAAAGCCAATACGTAGAATGTAGTTGTTATTACACACAAATGCAAACATGCACGCACGCCCACACACACACACACACACACACACACGCACACACACAGACACACTCATGTATACATAAGTACTTAGCTGCAGCAATATGTGTGCACACATTCACACCTTACACCGTATGTAAAGTAAAAACTTTGTGTGTGTGTGTGTGTGTGTGCCGTAAAGTTAAACTTAAATAGAACATAATTTGGATTTCACAAATAAACAACAAAGTGCAATTATAGTATTTTCACATAGCGAGGCTAAAAATAGAAAAGAAACAAAAAAAAACAGTTAAGACAAAAGTGCATAGCTAATACAACAACCATCTGGCGCGGTCGTCCCCCCTCACCCCTAGTCTTGAGAAAAGTTCATGCAAAACGCAAATAGCCAACATTTAAAGTAACTTCTCATCATTTCAATTTAGAAAATCATTCCAAGACCATAAAAAAAAAAACGAAAGCAATATTGTTTTTTGCAAACTTCTAAATGGGCAATAACTAGGGAATACATAGAAAAAGTAAGCTTTAAATTCGTAAAAAAAAAATAAAAGAACATGCGGAAAATTAAATGAAAAATGAAAATGTAAAACTCTTAGTAGTAAATAATATACATATATTAAAAGAAAAACCAATAGTTTATACATATTTAACTGTCTATATATATATATATACATATGTGTGTTGTACATTTTAGCCAAATTCCTGTGTTTTGTATTCAATAATAAAAAAAACAAATGAAATATTTAAAAAAACAAAAAAAAAACAAAAAAACACCAAAATTGTATGTAAAAATTATGTACTTAATATGCTTAGAGGTAAGGTTGAACGGTGAACGTTTTTATTTATTTTAATCGAATCTTTTAGTTTAAAACTGTTTTGTTTTTGTTTTTTTAATGCCTTTTGCTGTTGCCTTTAACCATGCCACACCTCTCTTCTCTCTTTTGGAACCCTTTCACTTTCTCTACGCCTTGCTGTACGAATACTCTGTCTAAATATACTCTATCGAAAATTGGTGTCGCATAGCTTAGTGTTAATTAGTTAACATATGAAATATATTTATGTGTTCAATTGATTTTCCTATTTGGTTGGACCAACAACGCTGTTGAAAATTCCAAGTACATATACATAATGAAGAACGCATTTCCCATTTTACAGGACGAAACACCGCAAAGTTTCTTTGATGATCATGGCCTTGGCTAAAATGGCTAAAATCCAACAAAATGCGTATCCCTAACCATAAAAGTCGCCTTAATGTATGCGTGTATTTCTACTAATTGTATTCAACATAACCGAGAAAAGTATATATGTCGTAAATGTCTTATTTTATTATTTTTTTTGTTCCAAGGATTATTCCGTTACCAGCTGCAAATTTTTACACACACACACAAATGCTGTTAAACACATATTTATTCAAATGTACCCATTCAAAAACGCAAATGTAATTTGCCAACATTAAAACACACAAACTTTAAAAATTAACATAAACAAAAAGAAAACTAATACACATTTAACAACAAAGCCCCGTCTACAAGCCTCAAGGCGCTGGATTTTGAATAGATCGTAAAACGTCCCACATTTCATATAGATGGAACTAAAGTATGTAGTTAATGTAAACGTACTAAAAACCTGCGTGCTCAAATATATATACAAAACATATATAATATATAAAAAAACAAATAACTTATATATTTCATAGCTGCGCACAATAATGAAGCTTCATTTTTTAACTGCTGACTAAAATTTGTTACACTTAAATAAAAATTAAATTTATTTAGAAAATGTTTTCTTATTTACATAATCCATTTAAAACTGGTCACACTGCACAGTACCGATAAGTCGACTTAAGTCCCAAAGTGATTTGTGTCTTGGCTAGAAAATGTTGCTGTCCACACTTAACTCAAGGTGCCGCTGCATACTTAACGAAGCAATTGCCGTTATTATTACAATTGGATTTTTATTGTTAAGGAAGTATACATTTGGGAAAATAGTTATTTGCTGATATAGACTCTTTTAGTTTCTGACTCTTACAGCTAGTTACATAGATAAGACAGCGTAAATTCTTATTCTGTTTCAGCTACGCAGTAATTTAATTTATGAATGTTTATCGAAATAACGTGCTGTTCTACTTAGTACGATATATTGTTGAATAATCGTTTGATGCTGGTTGCCTGTCGATACATATCGATATATACACTCGATGACAGATTGAAACTTTCATCTGCCGAAAAGATGAAACCATAAGCGAGCGCCTTAACGGCTGACAGAGAGAGAGAGAGAGAGAGCGAGCGCATGAAATGAAGGCAAAGATAAAGAGCGCGAGCGCGACAATGAGTGAATGTGGGCAATACTCCCGCTATTTTTCCCGCTGTTGTTGGTGGGACTTTCCGCTGCGGCCGCCAAAAAAATTTCAACACGCCGAATTTGCGGCCAGCAGCAGCAGCAGCAGCAGCAAAAGCAGCAGCAGCCGAGTGTCGAGGCTAGCGAGCGTTGAACAGTTTTCGGCCCCAGTCAGAGCGCACCATCGTCTTCAGCGAAGCACAAGCACACACAACCACTAGGTGTGTGCTCTTTGTACGTTACGGGGGCACTGCCACACACAGAGAAGAATTTTCATTTTCACATACCATACACACCAAAGTAGGAAAAATGTACAAGAAAAAAAGAAAAACTTGAAAACTTGTACATTCGAATTGTGTGAAAATTTTCCATTCAACCAATAAGTTTATTCTTTATTGGTCGCAGTGCACAATTACGGAATATCTGAATACGCGAAAAACAAACGTAACCAAAAATCTGAAAAATCCAGTGCTAAAATTCCAAAAAAAAAAAAAAAAAACGCCTGTCAAAATGACGAACAATTTGCAAACCGCACTCGCAGCAGCAGTGAAAATTTTTTAAGTCCCGCAGCGGAGATGTGTTAACCAAAATGAAAATGAAATTGAAAATGGAAAATGGAAAATAATTGTGCAAATTTGCAGTGGCAGCAGCAGTTTCAGTTTTGCGAATTGCCGTCGTCTACGTTGTCCAGCAAAAATATATGGTACATACATTTTGTATCTGCGCGTGTGCCTGCCTGTCTGTGTCTGTGTGTGTGCGTCTGTGTGTGTGTGAAAATTACGTTGTCATATGTGCAAAGTTCGCCAGCGTAGGCTGAACATCTCATGCAGCCAATGCAAAGCGATTTTTCGAAATGCAATTGTCAAAACTCAAAGCGAGGACTGTTTGGTTTTATGTATTTTTTTTGGTTTCTTTTTTTTTTTTTTGAAAATTCAAGGACTTTGCTGTTCTATGTGTGTGTGTGTGTGTGGGAGTGTGTATGTGTGGCGAGGAGTCAACGCAGCACAGGAGCAGCCGAGGCAGCAAGAAAAAAATTCTCTATCTATTGCGATTTGCTCATGCGGCTCGAAAAGAGCGAGGCGCACAACGTTCGCAGAGAGAGAGCGAGAGCGAGAGAGCGTGAGCGAGAGAGAGTGAGAGTGGGGCAGTGTTGTGGCTGCTGCCTGCGTACATATGTATGTATACATGCGTTCCACTCACACACACACACAGGCACACGTATGTAAATATGTGCGAGTGCGCTCATCTCGAGCTGCCCAATTTCTAGCCTCAGCATCATCATCAATAATTTCATTTTATTTCAATAACGATTCGCAGCAAAAAAAACGAAAGCCAGAAAAAAACATGAAAGCACAATTTATGCGGCATTAACCCCATCAATGCCACAAGCAGCAGCATTTTGTTGCAAAAAATTTCATTTGTGTGTGTGTGTGTGTGTGTGTGTGTGCTTCATTGTTCTTTGTTTCCTTTTGTGGCGCCTTTCGAAGTGATTTATCCTTAAACTTGGCAACTTTTTGCACACTGTTTCGCCTCGGCCATGCTGTGTGGTGAATTGGCCACTGCGCATGCCACCTGGTGACCAGGACATGAACATAAGCCTCCCACGTCGACGGCAGCGGCAGGTCTTTGTGTCATATTTGGCTCATACAATTATAATTTCATACATATATACATATATGTACATGTATTACATATGTATGCATGTGTGCGTGCACAATGGATTAGTATATCTGTACAGATTGTGGCTGTTGCTGGTCCGTTTTCGTATTGTCATAAAGCTGAAAATTTCAAGTGTGGCCATCTATTATTAGAATTTGTATGAGTTAATGGTCAAGCTTTACCGTTTGTCCTTGGCCGAACGGGTAGCCCTGGCTTTTGCTGTGCGTGGGCGTTATAGAATCCCCTACACATACAGTCTCACACACACACACACTCATACACTGGCACACAATCAGGCATACGGTTCAGTGTTCCACAAGAAATGCCAACTATGCGGTCATCATTGCTGCTCCTGTTTATGGTCTAAGAATTGGGGATTCGGTGTTGCATACTTATTGGGGCAGTTGTTGGACAACTCGCTGAATTTTCATTCAATATTCGCTTTTGTGCAACTATAATATGTTGAATGCAATTTCCAACGGGGGAGTATAACTTTCTCAGTCTATCTCGCTCTTACTCGTTTAACCAGTCGCCTGCAGTTGCTATCTATCGTTCGTTCGTTCGTTCGTTCGCTCGTACATTCGTAGGTTCGTATGTTCGGGGCTATCTCTTGACACGCTGTTGATATCATATTTTTGCCAGTTTTATTATTATATGATGCCTACTATTTTCAATATGTGCGTGGAGTGTGGGGGATATGCATGCTCAAATAACGGGTATTGCTGCTCAAACACAAACTCACCACGCATAGCCTCGCTTCCACACTCGCGCACGCTCGCTCTCCCTCTCTCTCTCTCTCTCTCTCTCGCTCACTCACTCGTTTGGTGGGCGCTCAAAAACTCCCGCTAGTGTATATTATGTTATCTCGAAACTTTTATTGCCTTGCGTTTGGGGGTGCGGCGCCCACACGTATGCGAAAAGGAGGCAGCACCAAGTACGAAAAAGCATACTCCAACTGCGGGTCTCGAGCCGAACTAACATGCCAATATATTCGCTGCTGTTGTGAACGTTAATTCAAACAGAAAAACAAATAGAACGCGACGGACCAATTGAAATGTCTATAAATATATAAGATTATAAATAAAACAGCAACAGCAACAAAATTAAATCAATTGAATTTTTAGTCAAGTGTTTTAATGTGCAAATTGATTTTCAGTGCAGCGCTTGAAGCAAAAGTCACCGTTAATTGTAAATAAGTAACAAAAAGTATAACAACAAACACTCCACCAAACTCGAAACCTATAGTAAACAAAAATAATTATAAATATACAACAACAACAAAAACAACAACAACAAAAATGATCTACATATTTAGAACCCAATAACTATTATTAAATGTAAATAACAACGTAGCCTTCAAACTATAACTAAAAATAAATTTAAAAAAAAAAAATAGAAAAGAAAAACCCTAAAAGAATTTATAATATAAAGGATATTATATTAATTAAATAGTTATTGCTGCTAATTAAGAACAAGGTGCGGGCGCAGAGGCGCAAAATTCCGGCAAGCAAATGTCTGGATAAAAACAACAACCAGTTAACCAATGGATGAAAATGCAGCCGTCGTCGTCATTTTTGTCGTCGTCGTCGTTGTCCATTTGTCATCGCTTTTGTCAGCAGCCTCAGCAGCAACAGCAGCAGCAGCAGCAGCAACAGCCGGATACGCATCAGCCGCTGCCACAGCAACAACAACAACAGCAACAACAACCTCAAGAGCAACAAAAACACCAAAGGGCCGCAGCAGCCGCAGCAGTTGCAGCAGTTCAGCAGCAGTTGGCGACACAGGCAGCAACAGTAGCAGCAGCAGCAGCAGCAGCAGCAGCAGCAGCAGCAGAAGGAGGAGAAGGAGTAGGAGGTGCATTCTATACAGCACACGCCCACTTTTGTACGCCCAAATTGCCGCAAACGCTGCCGCTGGCCAGCTCAAGCCGAAGCCCAAGCACTCTGCCACTGCCTCAGCTGGCTGCGGCTTAGTACGCACCAGTTTCTACAGTTAGTTGGCTTGCCAAAATTCATTCTAAAGGAGCTCAATTAAGCACCACAGCCCATCGCACAAGCAACAACAACAACAACACCAAATAAAGCACAAACGCTTCAACAACAACATCTACAATAACAACTACAACAATAACAAACAACAACAACAACAATAGTAATAACAATAGACAGCACACAAAGTCTCGTGCCAATTAAAACCACAACACAACAACAACAACAACAAACCAACAACAACAACAAGAAGAACAAGAACAACAACGCCAACAAACTTTAAACGGAGCTTTTCGAACGGCGCCCGACAGCTGTAGCTCTAACAGTAGATGACAAACAAAATGGCGGATGGTGGGCATTCATTTGTGAAGAAGACATTTCATAAGCCAACTTATTGTCACCATTGTTCGGATCTACTGTGGGGCCTCATACAGCAGGGCTACATATGCGAGGGTGAGTACAAATTACCGTTAAGCAAGCCGTTAAATATCCCAAGCGATCGCAGCATAATAAATTCCTAAATAAAAATCCCAAGGTAACTTTATTCTATATTCAATGAAAACTCTCTTAAGTGAAAAGTTTGGAGTTTTTGGGCGACCTTACGTTTTTGATTATATGTAAATTAATAATGGCGAATTTTGCTTTAAAAAAAGAAAACTTTACCATAAGAAAGCTAATTTTCTGACCGATTCTCTATGGAGCTATATGATAAAGTAGTCTGAGACTAGTTCAGTTTAGTTTATCTGGAAAGACATTGTTTTTTAGAAAATATCATTAATACCGTTAAAGTGAACACTGAGAGATTTAATTGCATAGAATATAAACAGATAAATGGGTAGACCGACTTGGGAATATTGACCAGGATCCTGATACCGTAGAGAAATATCGATACTTTATGGCGTCGGGAAAGTCTCTTTCTATAACAAATTATAAGACTCTCAAGAAGGGCATAAAAAGAGATGTTTTTTCTGAAAACTAATTCCAATCTAATTTCGATAATGTTGGAAAGAAAGGGATAACATAATTGGCCGGGTAAAGGAAATGTCTAACTAAAATTGGGGGTTGCATAAGACTTTTAATTATCGAATAAAGTTCAAATAATATTCGTTTTAAAATCTTAGTCTTGCGCTAAATTATATTATACTGTATAAATTTGGGCATTAGGGAAGTTAAAATATTTTTCTTTTTTTTTTTAAATATTTATATCTTTCTTGTACTTCGCAATAATTGCGTCGCATCGTATTCTTATAAGATATATATTTTTCTTATACTAAGCCCAAATAGAATAGAGTATTCTCTTGCAAGATAGAACCTGGAAGTCTCTTGTCAGCAGCGAAGATCTGCGAGAGGCGGGATCACAATTTCGTATATTCATCAATTAAGTTGGCAATCAAAATTTGTTGTGGAATTGTTTTGTTATACGTCAAGCACTTTGGGACTTTTAGTCAGCTGCCAAGTTGAATTAAACGGCCGAAACGGGCCAAATCCGAGGGCCCAAATGTAAAATATAATAAAAATAGATTTGTCTAGATTCGTAAATGATTTTTCAAATGGCCATAAAGTTGTGACTTTTACAAGCTGCATTCGCACGCGCCCGCACATGATCAATGATCAATAATGATGATGATCATCATCATGATGATCATTATGGTGATCAGCTGAAGCTGTTTGCTATTTGCGGCCAAAAAGTGTGCACATTTGAGCTACCCAGCGGCCAGCACCATGACGTTAGCCCGGCCAACGACGTCACAGAATCAGACAGCATCTCGACCATTGGGGCCATTGGCAGGCAGTTGGCAGTTGGGGTTGGGGTTGGGGCTGCGGCTGGCCACGAGAATCTATCAAAACTGGGGGCCACCTTCGCCGCCGCCGCCGCCGCCTCTCCCAATTGGCAGCGTGTTAAGCGCCGCACGCTAATTTGTTTATGTGCGCCGCCTTTGCCTATTATTATAATTATTGCACAGCGCGTTTTACTTGGGCTCTTGGGCAAATGTTTATATTGTCTTTGATTTCTGGAGGATCGCGAGGCTTACGTTCACGCGCACTGCCAAATAGTTGCCCAGCCCCATTCACATGCCCAGTCACCAATTGGCAACCAGTTTCAAATTTTTATATGCCATCGATACCCACACACACTTACCCACACTCACACACACACCCACACACTCACATTCGTACCTGTGCGCTTTGACAGTTTCAGCTAAAAATAAACGCCTGTCTCTGGCATATTTCAATTGCAAATTATTTATTTATATATTTTTCAACATATTTATTGCAAACAAAAAATAGGTCTTAGAAGTGTGCGCGACTAGCAAATACCCTGTAGCCAGCTATGCTGGCTATGCTTTGTGCATATACCCTGCAAATGTATGCGACAGGGTAGCCTCACTATATGTATATATATATATATATATATATATATATTCTTGGCAATTTCAAACGTTGAGCTCACAGATAGGTCCTCCTCCTTTTATTTAAAAGCATCGATAACTTCTCTAACTGATATCGATATAAATCGATAGCAAGTTCCTGTTCTTTGAGAATATCCCGACTCTTATAATATATAATATATATATATATTTATATTCTTTAGCTTTAGTATTAACGGACATTTAAATGTCATAATTGGAAAAATAAGCACCTACTCAGGTGTGTGTGTGTGTGAAAGGAAGATTTAATGATTGTAACGGGATTCAGGATATTTCAAAGTCTGGAACATCCTAATAAAAACCCGCTCACAGTGAAAACTCTTCCAAGAGACACTCCTCGAGACCTGAACGAGAGAAAATCGTTCAAAATGCTTCATTTTTTTAAGAATTTATAAATCAGTTAATCTCCATCAGCATATGTCCGTCTAATAGAGTTTTTGCTATATTTGATTTCATAAAAATAGCATTTCATAAATTTGTATCTTAAATATTTTCCGTGCCTTTAACAATTAAATTAGTTAAATAGAGTTATATATTTAAGCCGAGTATGCAACAGGTGAAGCTGCATACCAAATTTGGCATGTTTAATAGATTTTAGAAAGGCGGAAAAATATAACTAATAGATTATAAAAATCATAAATATAGCTGACTGCATAAATTTGCCAAAACTTTTCCATATGTACCTATACATATGCATATATATATTTATGTATATATGTGTGTGTGTATCTAGCTGGATATGTTTTTCGTGGAAAATTTGCATAGCATAGCCGCAGGCGTTGCTCTCATTAGCACACAAGTCGTATGCGAAGCTGTTTGCAGAGGCGTTGCACGCAGCTCTAATTGAGTTGCAGCCTCTAATTGCGTGTGGGACAAGGCTCAGCTTCAGCTTCAGCTGCACCGTGCTGGAGAGTGTAAATGAGAGTTGAGGTTGGGATTGAAATTAAGATGGCAAGCGCGCGCGCGGGGGCGTACAGTGCGCGCGGGCGTATGCAAGTCAAAGCCAATGCAACGAGGGAGAGAGAGAGAGAGAGAGAGCGAGCGAGCGAGCGAGCGAACGAGCGAGATGTAGAAGGGTGGGAGAGAGAGAGAGACAACGAGCTGCAAGTCGCCCACACAGAGTTGCCAGGCAGCAGCAGCAGCTGTTGCACTCTTCTCACTCTCTGTTAAGCTCGCCTGAAAGTAGGTCGAGATGCACTCTCAATTACACACACACACACACACACACACAGCAACACACACAGGATGCGCACAGCTGCAGGCAACGTTTCAATTGGTTTTCAAGGGTTGCGGGGGCGCTTGCCAACTGGCAATTGCAGCCGCAGTCGCAGCAGCAGCAGCAGCAGCAGGTGAGCATAACAACCAAATTGAATGTGAAAAAAAAAATAACTGTGTGGGCTTGTGACAAGCCGGCCCTGCCCGTGCATGGGCTTGTCAGCTACACCTACACTGGAAAAAAAGGCAGCACACACACACACACAGAGAGATGGCCAGCTGCTGTTCTAGGCGATATCAGCGAAGGGCTAAAAGTGCGTCATCAATGGCCGCCATGAATGTGGCGGAACGCGGCCGAAAACTGAGCGCCATATGGGCAAACGGCTGAGGTGCGGAGGTGCGGACCTGATGCCGTTTAATTGCCATCTCCACAACTTTGTTGCTGTTCATTCATGAACTGAAAGCCAAGGCAGCCACAAAAAAAACTATAATAATAGCAAACAAAAAAAAACAAATGAATAAAAAGTTGTGTTTTTTTTTTTGGGTCGTCAGTTTGGCTGGCACAGCCATTGGATTGCTGCTCGATAGCCCGGGCCCGGACTTCAAGTGGCTTTTGCTGACGTCTCCACTTTGATATATATTTAGCTCTCAGATCTATAACTATAAAAGACTGTTTGTCCCGACTAACGGAATGATTAGTAAAAAGCTAAAAAGCCACAATTTCACTGTAGTTAACTTGTTGGGTTGGAGCTGGAAAAGTCCACCCGGAACTGTGGAAAAATCGCCAACAAAAAGGTTTCCTGTTCAGTTGGTCAAATTTTCAACACAAAACTTGTCATGGGCCAGGCAATATCCGCTAATATAATATATTAAGTATACGAAATACTGTTGTCTGCCAACTACAGACTCTTTCCACTTCCTCAATAAAAAGGCTCACATATTTTGGCTATTCTTCTATGATCCTGTTTTGATATTAAATGAAAGATCATATGTATAAGAATCTATCCAAACATTTTAGTATTAGAAAGTGCACAAAGGAATATGCATTTTTTTGGGTTTATCTCCAAGGAGTTGTCTTTAGGAGTCCTGTGAGTTAAGTCTACCCAGAAAAGATTATCTGAAGGAACATTGCCTTATTGAGAGAAATACTTATTATGCTGTAAAAGCGTTGACATTCTATAAATATCATGTTCGTTGTGCAACACTGGAAATTTTGCAATACTAAAAACTCTTGAAGGACAAAAAAAGTAAGAGAAAGCACAATTTGAAACAGTTATAAATATCTTTTAATATATGCAATAAGAATATTAAACAACAAATAACTGTTAGCTATTCACAAAGAAATATTCATAAAAAAAAGATAAATTAATTTGATTTAATTAAACTACAAAGTGTTCCCTTCTATGACACGATTACATGGACATATTATGTTTCTCTGTGACTCAAATGGAAAAGTGCAAATAATTGGAGCGAGCATAAAGATAATCCAGCCGAAATCTGAATTGGTCCCAGGGTATGCAAATCCAATCTCTATCAAGTGGCGCAGCTGGCCGCAATGTCGACGTCGACGTTGCGCGGGGAGGCAGCAAGCCGCAGCGACGACGCACACGATATCCTTGACTGTTGCCTTGTGTGTGCTTACGTACTTGCCACAGCGCTCCAAAGTGTTGTGCGTGTGTGTGTGTGTGTGTGTGTGTGTGTGTATCTCGCACACAACAAGATTTGTAGCTGCGCGCATTTGCTTGAATTGAATTGAGTTGATTTCATTTGCAGCTTTACAAATTATATTTATGAGAAACTAAATTATGTTATGCTCAACCGGGGCGTGACCTATAAATAAAACGCGGCTGCAATTTGATGCAATTTCTAATTTGAATTTGAATTTGAATTTGAATTGCATACGGCTGCATTAGCCTGGCCAAACAGCATTTATATCAAACGTTGATAGTTGACATTTCCAATGTTATTTCGAGTTCGAATATTGCGTATACGTCATGCGGTTCGTGGTCGAGTTGAAGTGCGCACAGAATCGAATCGAATACGTTCTGGCGGTGTATGTATTATTATTCATGCGTCACATTGATCCAATTATTTCTATATTTATTTATGGTTTCATCTATTTTTGAGCGAGTTGGCTGGCTGTCAGGAAGTTTGATTCTAAATTGATTTCCTACCCAGCCAAAATCCATAACTCACAGCTGACAATGCAAAAATCTCTCTCTCTTTCTCTCGCCCACGCTGTGCGTGTGCGTGTGCGTGTGTAAGTGTGGGCGGGGTGTGAGTTCTATGCAAATATCAATTTTAATTGTTGCTATTGTACTACGCATGTCAACTTGTGCCCATTCAATTGCCACAGCACAGCACAACACACCCACTCACACTCACACACACACACATGTATACGCATGTAGTGTCGCCTGAGTGTGTGTATGTATGCGTGGCAAACATTATTTGCCACCTTAGACACACATTTTTGTGCTTCGGCTTTGACTGCGACTTGCTGCCAACTTCTTTGAGTACTTTTAGACGTCTTTGCTTTATGTTTCCTTTGTTATTGTTGTTATTAAAGCAACACACACACACACACACACACACAATACACAACGACGTGAGCGCGAACTCGCCAAGCAAAAGAAAGATGTAAAAGTAAAAGTGTGTTGAATTTCGTAAATTTCCCAACTAGTGCGAAGAAAAACATTTGAAAATTTCCCATGCGTCCTCGTCGCATTTATCTTCTCTGTTAACACACACACACACACACATACATGTGCGTACTCTAACATTTTGGTATACATAATGCCAATGAAAATGCAAACATATAAACATGTATATACATATGTACGCATATGCAAATACTATATAGATATATTTGTAAAATACAGTTACAGTTATACAATGCTTCTTCTGTTTTTTCCAAATATAATATAATGTTTCATTAATACACACACACACACACACACACACATTGAGAGGCTGCAGTTGGTTTCGTGCCAGCGTCACGTTTACACGGCCAAAAATGATTATCCACTTTGAGCATGCAACATGCGCCGTAAACATTTCGAGTACTCGTTTATTTTTATACATAGCTGAATGACAACAACAACAACAACAACAACAACAAGCTACAGCAACAGCAGCAACAGCAACAACAACAAGAGCAAGCAATTCATGAGTTCATTCATGACGTCAGAGCGTCAGCGTCAGGTCAGCGGCCTAGTTCGAGAACTAGCTAAATACATACAGACATACATATGTACTCGCATCTAAAATACATAAATACGTATCTATATTAAAATGCAAATAAATGTACCTAAAGAATTATGAATTTATTTAGCAGTACATAAGGCGCAGTTTGGCACATTAATACCTCCATATAAATGTACAAAAAAAAAAATATATATATATATATATATATATGTGCATATATATGCATGCAAAGTGTGTACAACTTTCCGTATTTTCTAAAAATAAAATTCGAATTTCTATGCTGAGCTACACACAGCTGCACAAATACATAGCATACATACATTCATGTGCATATATACATATATAGCTGGGCTGCACTCAATGCCTTGCATGTGTGTGTGTGTGTGTGTGTGTGTGTAGTTTTGCCCAGGACAGTGGCAGCACTGCTTTGGTCACAGGTTGCGGCTGCTGCTTCCATTCACACACCGACACATGCAAGCAGAGTGGCAGTGGAAGTGCAAGTGGAAGCGAGAGAGAGCGAGGCCTTTGTTTGCCCTGCATTATTGCTGAGTTTGTTTTCGCTTTTGTGCGTAGCTCTCTCTCTCTCTCTCTCTTTCACTCTCTCTGCAGCTTTAGCTACTCTTTTAACGGTTAGCCACTTAGGATTTGCTTATTTTTTGCTCCAGGTCGATTGTGAGTGTGTGCGTGTGCGTGTGCATGTGCATGCAAGTGCTATTGTCCATGCATATGTGTGTGTGTGTGACTGTGTAAGTGTGCTCTGTGTAAGCCTTCAATGAAAATGGTGCCCATGAACTCAAGAGCCCCAGCATGGCCCATTGCTATGAATGGCGCTAATGGGTGGCTGACGATGACGTGCGATTGTCCTCACACTCAGCCATAACATGTTCCTCTTACACATGTACATGCAGACAAGTGTACACTGTACAGTAAAATGTCTATTAGCGTACAGCTACCTTGGCCAAACATCTTACAGACTGATTGTCAAAGAAAATTTCCTCAATTTTTTGGTACTTTTATTATAGCTTGAGACTTTCGCCAAAACAAATATCCCTAATATTTTGGTACTTTTATCATAGCTTGAGACTATCTCCAAGGGAAATCTCCAAAATTTTTTGTCACTTTTATCATGGACTATTTTTTGAGCAAACGCGATTCGTCAAGGTTATTAGAAATGTTTGATAAGCGACTTTTGTTTTTGGATTAAAATAAATTAAATATTTTTGTTGAATATTTATATATATATAAAATATTAATATCTTTAAGATCTATTGTAATTTATTAATATTTAGTTAGAAATAAATTTTGTAATATTTGTGTAAGACATGGGCGTCCACACAAGAGAGTTTTCACTGTACCTGCATAGCTGTTAACTTACTTGAGGTAGCAAAGCTCAGGTTGTTATATTGTGCAGCCATATTTGCCTGTTTCATTTAGATAAGAACTGACATTATATAGTCAGGGAAAATGTTGTCTCCATTCACAATTCTCTATTGAATGACACTTACATGCCTACCCACCCCCCCCCCCCTCTCCCCTTCCCTACCCTTTTACTTTTCTCTTGCAGTTTGCAACTTTATCATACACGAGCGATGTGTCAGCAGCGTGGTAACGCCCTGTTCCGGTATTGCGCCATGCATTATAAAGGTGGGTACACTATCCTACACACACACACACACACATGTATATATACTTGATATCTGTTTTACATTGAATAACTTGGCATCTGTCATGTCGTTGGACAGAATCCCGTCGCCCATTGTTGGTCGGAGCCAACCCATCACAAGAGAAAATTCTGCACCGTTTGCCGTAAGAGATTGGATGAAACGCCAGCGGTGCATTGTTTAGGTAAGCCAACATTTCAACCAGCGCATTGGGCGAGCGGGGGTAGAGGGCCTGAAGCCCACGCCCAACTAGTTTCAGGGCTGTCAGCTTATTTGAAATGCATTTCATAACCAATTCCTGTGCATGTCAAACATGGCTTCAATTTATTTATAGACGCGAGTAGATTTTATCTAATATTTGTTAAAGACTTACATTGAATACATTCAAATATCTCAGCGTGTTTTTTTTTTTTATTTCAAACAAAATACTTCAAATAATATAATTAATATAACTTTAAGGCTCGTTTCACGTGAAATGTTGCATACTTTTAGAAGTCAAACTAAAGTCTCCCATATAAACATTTTGTAGTTAGTAGTTTTTAATATTTTAGAAATGAAATGCACATGGAATTCGTTTAGAATGGATTTGAAATTGAAATATAAACGAATAGTTCTCTAAAAAAAATATAATAATAAAAATAACAATTTAGTATATATCAATTTCTTGCCTAAAATCAGAGTTATATTCTTAACATAAGTTAAAAAAAAAACAATTTCGAAGTTTTATAGCAAAAAGCTTTATCATTAATAGAAAGCAGTTTCATAGCAGGCAGCTAATCAATTCGTTAACCCTTCACAGTCTGCGAATATTTCGCGCATACCGAGTGCCAAGATTTTGCTGTGCCCGATTGCACCGAGAATGCAACATACGTGCCTGGCAAGGAATTGCTTAATGTGCGGCATCAAGTGAGTATTAAACAATTTATTTTCGATATCCAATATGCCAGACACTATGCATATATATACATATATATATATATATATATACATATAATAATGCTCGACAGCATCATTGGCGAGAGGGAAATCTTCCATCAACGTCCAAATGCGCTTACTGCAAAAAGACCTGTTGGTCCTCGGAATGCCTAACAGGTGGGTGTCACACGGCAAACACTTCAATATTGGAGAATCCTCCACTTATACATCTCCCACATCTCTATCTCCTTGCAGGCTATCGGTGCGAGTGGTGTGGCATGACCACGCACGCCGGATGTCGCATGTACCTGCCAACCGAATGTAATTTTGGTATATTACAACCTATCTACTTACCTCCGCATTCAGTTTCGATACCACGTACTGAGGTGCCAATTGAGGCGATTATTGGCGTCCAAGTCAAATCCAAGACGTCGCTCGTGCGCGACTATTCGTGTCGTAAGTACCAATCCGACCCGCCCCATCCATTTACCCGTGATCCTTGCCAGCTGGCCCGGTCAGGGTCAGAGGTCAGCAGCTCAGCTCAGCTCACTCACCCAAAACTCACACCCTAAAAGCTGCTCTTCAATCAGCTCTCGATGTTGTGCACATTTGTATGTTTGCTCAGATCCATGGATCATCATCATCTTCCGGTTCTTAAGCCTCATCTTACTCTTCTCACCTCGTTACACGATCGCAAACAAATTCGTTTCCAGCTGCGGTTTTTCTTTTCTTTACACATTTTCACGCTGTTTCTTCGATTTGTTTTCATTTCGATTTATTTATTTATTAAGTTTTTCTTGTGTTATTTTAAACGTTTCTTTTTTGGTTTGGTTGTTGGCCGTTGACGCCTCGGCAGCCAGCCCGGAGCTCGGTGCAGAGGCCGCGGCTGGTCAAGTTGGTGCGTCCGGTTTGTGTCTCAAGGAGCTCTTGGAGCTCCATAGACAGCGACTCGAGCTATCGAAACAACATTTTTTACTTTCAACGCCGCCCACGCCCACCTCCTGTGGCTCCATGTCACTCTGTGTCTCACCCACGCCCTCGCTAACAGTGGGCGAGTCAAGCAACTACCAGGATCAGGATCAGGAAGAGCCAGATGCTGAGGAGGATGACTACGACCAGCAGTGCAATACGACGGAGCATGACAGCGCCCTGCAGCTAACCACGGCCTCCAGCAATTTGGCCACAGGGCCCTTGCAGAAGTCGCCCTCGGCCAACTCCTCGCTGCATCTGATCTACACGAGCCTGTTTCGTAAGCTGGGCCACGGCCAGGGGCGACGACGTCGCCGGCGCGGCGCCTCTACCAGCGAACAGGAGGAGGAGGAGGAAGATGATGTGGATGTGGATGGCGGTGTCTGTGATATAAGTGGCGGCGATTTGAGTGACGATTACGATCACTGCGATGTGCTGCTACGGAAGCGCTGCTCGCATCGATCGCCGCGCGATGTCAGCGAGACGGATTACCATGGCGACGTGGAGCTGGAGACGGCGCCGCGGGAGAGCTGCTACGAGACGTCCGACACGGGCGGCGAGCTGACAAACACCGAGGATCTCGACTCCAGCATGAATCTGATCAGCAACCTTAGCTATAATAGTAGTAATAGTAACACCTCCAACACCTCCGAGCAGCGCCAGATCCAGGCGCGTTCCACTGCCACAGCCACAGCCGCAGCCGCCGCCAGGGGTGTGGGCCCCGCCCCAGGACCAATCCCTGCCTTAAGCGCGCTCGCTGGCCGCAACCCAAAGACTGGTGCTCTCCTGAAAGCCAAGCCCAAGCTCAAGCCCAAGCCCATACTCAGTGCGCCCAAGCACAAGGGCGGCTCCGCGAGCTCACCCAATTCCAGCGACTGCTCCTCGGCATCGCCCGCGCCCGCGGCCGAGCCCGCCACGGCGCTCCTGCAGCTGTCACCGGTGGGACGCAGCAAATCGTTTCAGGAGCCGGGCGTTGCCCGTTACAAAAAATACGGACGCGGCCTGTTCCAGCGTCGTCGATCGAAGCGTTCGCCCAAAGGCGGCGCCAAGAGCAACTACAGCCTGGACAGGCTGTCGCAGAATATCGAGATAACCATACAGGATGAGGATGGCAATTATCAGCCATACGATGACAATTATCATACGCTCTCCGCGGCACGTCTGCCGCTCGACACGGATGCCGATGGCTACGACGATGTCGAATATGAGGATCTGTATCTGGACGATCGGCCGCACAGCGCCGGCGATGACATTGCTGGCGATATCAGCGATGGCGCCACCAGCAGTCGATCCCGCGCCAGCGACGCGGATGCCCAGGGCCAGGGTCATGTGCTCGATCGGCTGCTGCGGCGCGTCCGCGGCCTGTCCGCCGGCTGGCGCAAGCCGCGCTACCAGAAGCGCAGAGGTGATTAAGCGTACCGCAATCTTTGTACTCGTTTGTAAACTCTCTCTAACAGCAACTGCCACCGACTGCCGTATACTCTCAGTACTCAGTGCTCGATTGGCTTAAGTTTCGTTTTCGGTTCTTCGATTTGTTTTATTCTAGTTATTGAGCTAACCAACCGCCTTGTTTAACCCTCTGTTAACCAGCTACTAACTCAACTAACCATCCATCACATGCCATACGATCGCACCATTTCGCATCGCATCAGACAGAACTAATCCCTAACATAAAACACATTGCATGATCGTCTCAAGCTAACCCCACCCTCTGCCTGAATATCTGTTAGCCATAGTTTACTAACGGATTTGTCACACGCAGCACGCAGTATATCGGAGGAATTTAGCAGCGGGGATGCACCACGCTTCAAGGACGAGGAGTCGCTGGGCAAGGCCGAGTCCTCGCATGGCGCAAACACGGCCGGCGGCGGCAGCAGCGGAGGAGGGGGAACTGGTGCTTCTAGCGGTGGTGGCGGCACAGGTGGCTCGTCCACATACTATCGCCCCGACGCCACGGGGCACAAGTCCGAAAAGTCGGAAAAGGACCGCGAGAAGAAGGAAAAGGAGCGCGAGGAGAAGGACATAGGTATGTGCCAGAAGGGAGCACACGAGGAGTGCCTTGCCCTTGCCTAATCGATTCAATTATTGTCTTGCAGAGATGATCAAGGTATTTGACGGCAACAACTCATTCCGGCGCCAACAGTACCGTGCGATCATCGTGCAGCGTACCTATACGCTGGAACAATTACTGACAACCGCCTTGCGGGCGTTTCATATAACGCGCGATCCGCAGGCGTTCTATCTGACCGATCTGTATGCGGCCACTGGCATGGAGGATGCAGCGCTGCAGGATCCGACTCCGGTGTTGAATCTAACACACCTGGAGGGCAAGCGACCGGCCATGTTTCTCAGGTTTCAGGACAAGGACAGAGGACATGTGCGCGTGTATCCCGGCAAATTGCAATGCTCACTGGAAGATCCCTATGTCAATGTGCCTGTCGATAATACAACAGTTATCAAGGACTTGATACGAGACGCACTCGACAAATTCGGTCTACAAGATAACCAAATACAGGACTATAGGTAAGATCCATCCAGCCCGCGTGGTGACCCGCAATTGTCTTAGTCCAAATCGCCTTTGCAGATGCTCGGAGGTGCTGCTCGATCGCGGCGTGACCGAACGCATTCTCTCGTGGAATGAACGTCCGTGGGATATTATGAAGCAGCTGGGCAAGGATTCCATTCGCCAAATGGAACTGATGCGCTTCTATATGCAGCACAAGCAGGATCCCCACGGGCCGAACATTGCGCTCTTTGTGGGCAACCTGCCCACAGGACTCTCGCAGCGCAACTACGAGCAGATCCTCAGCAAATATGTAACCGATGAGAATAAGTTCATCAGCATTGGACCCATCTACTACGAGTACGGCTCGGTAGTGCTCACATTCGAGGATTCTCAAAAGGCGGTAGGTCCTACGGACACAAAACTCTCTTCGATCTAGGTTGACATATTTGTCTTTCTCTTTGCCGGGCAGGTTCGTGCATTCTACAATCTACGCGAGACGATCATCGAGGACAAGAAACTGTTGGTGCTGCTCTTGCCGAACATTGAGCCCAGCATGGTGCCCTCGGATGTGAGGCCCCTGCTGGTCTTTGTGAATGTTAAGTCCGGCGGCTGTCAGGGCCTCGAACTAATATCGAGCTTTAGGAAACTACTGAATCCGTATCAGGTCTTTGACCTGGATAACGGAGGTCCGCTGCCAGGGTGAGTTAACCTGAAAACCAATTGAGAACCTTCATCATTTCTTGTCCATCCTCAGGCTGTACGTGTTCCGGCAGATCACGAACTACAAGATCTTGGTGTGCGGCGGCGATGGCACCATTGGCTGGGTGTTGCAGTGCCTGGACAATGTTGGCCAGGACTCGGAATGCTCTAGTCCACCGTGCGCTATTGTACCCCTAGGTACAGGTAAGTAGCTGGCCATTGCTCTGTCAAATCTGTTGCGCGTTTCCTAAGCCCAAGTCTTGCCAGGCAACGATCTGGCTCGTGTTTTATGTTGGGGTTCCGGCTACACCGGTGGCGAGGATCCCCTCAATATGCTGCGCGATGTCATCGAGGCCGAGGAGATACGCTTGGATCGTTGGACTGTCGTCTTTCATCCGGAAGACAAGCCCGAAGAGCCGGCCATGAAGGCGCCCTCACAAACAACGGGTAAGAAGAAGAAGGCTCACCAAGCACATCTATCGCAACAAACAAATCAGCATCATCAATTACCGGCTCTGACATCGAGTGATATATCAGGTCATTTGATGTTTCAAAATTATTTATTCTTTTTATACGTTTCACTGTCTAATTTATCTAACGCCAACCGCCCACCAATAATCCCCCCAGGCCAAAATCCCTGTAAAAACCGAGCAATAGATGTTCTATTTTTTTTTTTTTTTTGACTTTGTATTTTTACATGTGCTTTGAAATATTGCTGTATTAATAACCATAAAGCTACCGATACTTAGTTCCCATGCGAGTATTTCTGCAACTGATCCTAAATTAATCCAACTTTAACTAAGAATTTCCAGCTAAGCAATATAATCGGTTGCAGAAATATCTATTGAGAGACAAACCTACCTCCCCCAACCTCCTCAATATATATTTATATCCGAGTAGTCTTTTGCCGCCCAGTTTGGTAGCTGATGATAAATGCTGTAGTTTTGATGTGTAAACGATGTATTTATACACTCAGTAGAGCTGCATGCATACGTGTCCCATCGTAGTTAGTCCCAAGGAGTTCAGGTAATGTATGTGAGTCCGAGTCAAGCGTTAGCCGGAGGCGACTTGAATCGGTAAAACCGACCCATATGTCTATCTCGATGTGTTTTGTAAATTCAATGTTCGATGTCATGTGTCAATGTATTGGCCAGCTGCTGGCTCGAATTCCAATTTGAACTCACTGAATGCTCTCTCGATTGTCACAGGTGGCGCTCAGAATGAGGACAACTCGCAGATCTTTGTGATGAACAACTATTTTGGCATTGGCATCGATGCCGATCTGTGTCTGGACTTTCACAATGCCCGTGAGGAGAATCCCAATCAATTCAATTCCCGGCTGCGCAACAAGGGCTACTATGTTAAAATGGGCTTACGTAAGATTGTGGGACGCAAAACGGTCAAGGATTTGCAGAAGGAGCTGCGCCTAGAGGTCGACGGCAAGGTGGTCGAGCTGCCACCCGTCGATGGCATCATCATATTAAATATATTGAGGTAAGTGGAGAATTGAAAAAGAATTCGCAAGACGATTTTCACTCACTCGGTTGCTCTTCGTAGCTGGGGCAGCGGCGCGAATCCCTGGGGTCCGGACAAGGATGATCAGTTCAGCACGCCCAATCACTACGATGGCATGCTGGAGGTTGTGGGCGTGACGGGCGTCGTGCACCTGGGCCAGATACAGTCGGGCATACGCACGGCCATGCGCATTGCACAGGTGCGTTACACATACGCCCCGTTGGACCCAAAAGATATATATATTTAATAACCGCTCGCTTACAGGGTGGCCACATCAAAATACATTTAAACACCGATATGCCGGTGCAGGTGGACGGCGAGCCATGGATTCAGAGTCCCGGCGACGTGGTCGTGCTCAAGTCCGCGCTCAAGGTGAGTCCCAGCCAAGCGATATGCCCCGATATGTACTATATATATATATAGGTTAGAGCTGCATGTTAAAGATGTTCAGTTGTTATTTGCATGACAGCTTTCCACTTTGATTTCTTTTGTATATAAGTACATAACATTTCTTATGGGCCTGATCATAAATCAAAACATGAGCACCCAGCACCAGAGATTTACCTTTATTTTTATTATTTGTCAACAATTTAATTACGGATTGTACACCTAACGAGCCGGAACCCACAGATCATACTCGACAAGTCACCTAACAAACTATATAAAGCCGGATAACAATGACATTTAGAAGAGAAAGAAAAGAGTTTTTAGGAAATACCAAGAAAATACCAAAAATAGATGCAAGTTTTTTCTTTAAACGCGATATTTCTTAAGAAGAATAGTTATAGAAAAAGAAATGGAATTGGATAACAATCGAAGATTCCTTTTACACTCGTTCGATTAGTCGTGCTAAAATTCGACATACACACAATCCTCCTGGTAACCACATGTTAAAGCCTTACATGCAGGCAGCTTAGCTTAAGCAGTTATTTGTTGTAACGAATTTTATGTTAAGCGTAGTGAAACGATCGTGAGCAACAATTTCATAATTTTAAACAGTATTTGAAAATGTGTGTGTGTGTGTGTGTTTGTTTTATGTAAAACTGTGCATGCAACCAACTGCCACGCCCCACGTTCCCAATTGCAATAATAATACAATCTAGCTGAATAATGGTGATAAATGTATTTGGTATTTAATTTAATGAAATTATATGCCCATCAATATTGTCACTGTTATCCCTTGTATTGGTTTAAATAGAGCACCTGCTGTCCCAGAAGCCCCACCAGAACCCATGTATATATACATATTTAATGCAGTTATGTTTGGTCTTTTTTGTGTGTTACATAATTAGAATAATTTCCAAGAATATTTACAATTTGTAGCCTGAAAATTGTTCCAGCAACTAAGAGTTTTTATATTCATATAAGCTGATGGCTGTTCGCCCAATGTTTTACTTTTTTTCCCTCACTATAAAGTGGCTTTTCTAAATATCTAGTTGAGGCTAAGTTTATAAACTGCCCTCGACTGAGAGCTAAATGCTTATCCAACAGTTTATAGGCTTTATAAAGCCTCTTGATAGCTGCGTTATTCGTTTTGGATGAGTCTTGAATTTTAACTTAAAATTGCTGACAAAAATATGCGCGACTTTTATTTAGTCCCGTAGAGTTCGCCTAAATAAAAGTTTCAGCACAATTACCTTTGGTATATTAATGAAAGCCGAAAACAATTAATTTGATTCATGTTTAATATGGACACACTGGCGTCCAGTGTTGGTCAACTTAACTAAGCGGACAAAACTGTAAATTATAAATGTGAGGTTTAGTTGAAAACCTTGCCGTTAAAACTTTGACCGTCGGCTATTTTCATTAACTTCATGTTAAACATGCCGTCTGGAGAAATGAAAGCTTCGGCATATCGAAGATAAACCCACTTTCTTGTTCGTTTTAATGTTGATGTCAAAATATTAAACGCATAATATAATAAGAATTGAATAGAAGGATACTCCGTTTTTTTTATGTTAGCCTGTGAGTTGAGCAACCCAATTTGTTACTGTATATGTTATGGGTGTGTACATTTGATGTCTGTTGAGCCGTTGTCGTTGAGATTTGTCGCCTTTGACCTTGTGTGTGTTTTATGCTACATCCAGGCCACCATGCTGAAGAAAACGAAGAGCAAACGACGCCTAACGGAGCCGCATATCTCGCCGGCGGTGCTCAGCCTCTCGCTCGCGGGCAGCACCTCGGCCATGCAGGCTGTGCCGCAGCAGTCGCAGCTACAACAACAACAACAACAACAACAACAGCAGCAACAACAACAACAACAGCAGCAGCAGCAGCAGCAGCAACAACAACAACAGCAGCAGCAACAGCTCGAGAATGGCGACAAGGATATTTCGGTGCCGCCTTCGCTGCATTTGGGCAGCTCCTAGAGTCTAGCCTCAGCATATACGTCCGGTCTGCGTTATTGGTTCTCCTGTTTTTTTCCATAGTAGGCCGCATTCAAAATTACACTATACTACATACATAGAGACAGCAAACGGCAGGATAAGCAAGCAACTGAAAGAAACTGAAAGTAAAGCAAATGCATTAGCAAAAAGCCATAAAACAAACGCAGCCACATTTAAGCAAAACTTGCAACAAATTAGAACAAAACATTTTGTAGTATATATATTTCGGCTAATTAGCCAGCCGTTGGCCAACATTGAGAGCTGTAAACGCGGCTTACAAAACTTAAACTAGCTGCACACACACACACACACACACACACACACCGCACACACACCGCACACACGCCCTTAAACATGTTTATTTAATTAATTCGAGTTTTGTTGCTTTTGCTGAACCCTTAACAAATCACAGCAACAGGTGTAAATTATTTGGATTCGATTATGATTTCTGTGAATTTCATGCATTTTGCTTTTACTTTTTATTAAAAGCCCAATTCATGCTTTTATTTTGCAGTATATTCAAGTTTCGAAAAGCTAACTAAATAATGAAAAAACATAATTTTATTTATGTTAACGCTCTGTTACTTAATCTCTGTCTCTTTTTCTCTATTTCTCTTTATATATTACTAAACATATATATATATATATATATATATATATATAATAAATATAAACAACATGTATATAACTACAACAACAACAACAACAACTCCTAACCAAAACAACAACAATTAATGCACCGGACGACAAAAATATTCTCCTTCAAACACACTCTGCACTACAAATAAACAAAAATAATAACAAATGTTGATTAATTGCTAAATGAATCGCATTACCTAAATAGGCAACCATGTTAAAAAAGAATAAACTTAAAATGAAACGCCGCAACACGGAACCAACAATGCTGGTCGCCGGCTCAACAACCGCACAGCTATCCCTGGCCCTGCCGCCCAGCGTTGGGGAGGTGGGCGATGCCGCCGAGGCGGATGCCGGCCCAAATAATACGGACTTCTGAATATGGTATAGCGAGCGTCTGATTTAACGTGCTAATTACAGCAACCACAAGCCAGCCACAACAATTACAATCACAACCACAATTACAACCACAATTACCAACGACAAATTCATAAACGATAGCCGCAGATAGAACTTAAATCAAAAACATTAATCAAAATTAACTCTTTTTCTATATGTATGTGTATTACTATTCGTATATATGTATAGAGTATGTCTTTGTCATGTCATGTCTGAAATAAGTACGTTAAACTCAAACAGCTCGAACTAACAACAGCCAACAACAACAACAACAACAACAGCAACAACAGCAACAACAACAACAACTATTGATACTATTTAATGCTACAACAACAATACCTACTACTACTACTATACTATTAATGCAGCTGTGCACAACTGTACACTTTAAATTTACGCATAAACTACTTAGTATATTGTATGTATGTAACGTATGCTCTCCGGAACTTTGACAGCATTAGACGAAAGAAAGTATTCAAAATGATGATATCCAAATGTTTATACCTTACACAGCAATAGTCTGGCAAATGTTGTATATCAAATTCAAGCTCAATTATGTTCCTTACCGTTTTGTTCCTATGTATGTAAAACAAAAACAAAATGTTAATAAAAAACAAAAAACAAACAAAAAAAAAAAACAACAAAAAACAGCACAAGAGATTAGTGATACCGTTAACAAAGGCGAGAGTTCTAAAGAAGTTCTAGAGCAAAATAAAATCCCCAAGCAAAACCAGCGCAAAGAGCAAAAAAAAAAAACACAAAACAGTACAAAATTAATTGTTAATCATTTATTTGTTGAAACCAAATGAAGTCAAAGAAAAAAAAATATGTTAACCAAAATTAACCAACTTGTCAAATGCGGCACTGCTGCGTCCTCTCGCCGCTAGATGGCGCATTAGTGCTGCACAGCTAGAGGGCTAGCGGACGCAACAGTGCTGCCCAGCGCCCTGGCGCAAAGTACTCGGCAAAGTAAACCTAAAAAAAAAAACAAAAAGAACAAAATGAAAAGCTAAATATGAATGTAAATGTTACAACAGCTGCGAGAAAATTTGTACGAAGCATTTGTTAAAAAAAATAGCTGCAAATTGCATAGCTTGTCGAACTAAAACCAATGGGGACGCAACAATTCGTATATTCACAAGGAATAGAGAGAGATTGGAACTACAAGGTCGTGAGAATATAGGCGAGATATGGCATGGGTCAAATCAATTTGGATTGTGCAATTGGTATAAATTTTCTCCACTGTTGTGCAAAACAAATTATAAAATGTAAACGAATGCATTTTCTTAAAAAAAAAAAAAACAAAAACAAAAACAAAACAAAAATAAGAAGAAAAACAATGTGCCTGAACACGGCTTCTGTCTGATTGCCACTCAGTCGATATGTCGATCGGGCAGTCAGTCAGTCAGTTTGGGGCACGTAAGTATTTCCACATGCATTTGAACATTTTTGGGTGTAGAATCCACTTACAGAAAACAAAAAAACAAAAAGCAAATCCACTGAAAATAATGAAAGAAGGATATATTCATTTCAATGAAGGGCAAAGAATGAAAAGATAACAACCCGAAAAACTACAATTTCAACTTCAAAACGCTTATAAAGAAAACAATTTTTGAAAATTTTATAACTAATTTTACCTTACGTCTTTTGTTAGACACAAGACAAACGCCATACACGCACACACGCACACACGCACACGCACACACGCACACACTTATACGGCCGGTTGGGATGGGGCGAATGCGCATGGTCTGCACACGCGGGTATTCGCATGCGCAAGCGCCTCATCCCTAGCACATACACAGTGTCAAGGCGATCGGGAGTGGGAATATCCGGTTCCTTAGCAGCTTGGAGTGGACGGCAGAGCACTCTCGGTCGCCTTGGCCGTACACGCACACAACACGCTTGCATCCACACACAAACAGACAGTTTTACCGCATTTCCCATTTACTGTTATGCAACCACGGAAATCGCATAATAGTGCTCCCGCCCCTTCCCCTTCCCCCTCCTCCCCCCCCCTCCCCTCAACCAATTTCGAAATCCAAATTCACTCATATTTAGTTTTATCACACGCCATTAAAAATGACACCTAGAGCTTAACACACACAACTTGCGTTCAGCAAATCACCTTGACCAGCTGCAATTAAGGGGCTCAGTGCCCGGGGTTAATCAGACAACACCTGATTTCCGTGACACTCATATAGCGAGCGCGTACGTTCGCAAAACCAGCCGGCAGTCGACTATGCAATGGATATCAAAATTAAAACTAAGTGCGCGTCAAAACAAATCTAAAAAACCAAAAAAAAAAAAAAAAAAAAGGAATGAGATTTGAGGAATATTTGTTTTTGTTTTCAATTTTAACATTTTATTTTTGTTTGGCTACGATAAGGCAATTCGAACAAAACCCCATCCCATATTGCATAGACGTCTGCATAGTGTAACGTGCGCCGCCTTGCGAACCTATTCGAAACTGAAACTCGATGCGAATCGAACTCGAACTCGAATTCGATTAGCCGCTGGCACATAAATTCCAGTTCGCAGGTGATTTGAATTTTTTTGCCTAATTTCAACACAAATACACTGCGACAAAAATACACAATTTTTTTAAACTTTTTTTTCCTCTTATGTTGTTTTAAAAAGAAAATATATATATATATATATACACACATATATATATATATATATATTACAAAAACTTAGTGTAAGTAAAAAAAACAAAAAAAATTAAATATATGCTATTCAAAGAAATCCAAAACATAATATCTACCATGCGAATAAAAAACTAAAAAAATCCAAAAAAAATATAAAAAATAAAAAATCCAAAAAACAAACAAACAACTAAAAATACTAATTATAGTACATACATTGATGTAGTGTTAGTTTTAAGCCAAAAACCAAAAAAAAAAAAAAAAAACCAAAAAAAAAAAAACCAAAACTTAATGCCGATAACATTTAAAAGCCAACTACAAATTTGTTTCATAAACGCAAGAGAACAGAACAAAATCCATACATAAATGTACAAGTAACTATTTTTCTCTAAACCAAAGTAAAAAGCTACAATTTTTGCTCCACATTCAATTCAAATTTATGCAGGCAATGGACGATCCGAACGGATTGAATGATGAAATACTAAGTATGATATGTATATTGGAACAGCTAAGTTTGTCAAGCAAAATTCAAATCGAATTTTGAGCGGAAATTGTTAAACAGACTACGCATATGCAAATACGGAATTTATAATGTACAATGGGAGTCGCTTTAAAATCTTAAATGAACATTTTGTTGTAATGCAAATAATATTGCGAAAATCCAAACCCAAATCCGTTTGACAGAACGACAAATTCTTGCAACAAAACAACAGATATGAAACGGAAATAACTGCAAAATAAATGTAACTGACATAACAGAATTTAAAACTTGCATTTTCTTTATGATATACCGTTACTGTGGTAAGTAGAAAAAAAGTTCATCTAATAACTTTCATTAAATCGCATTCTGATTTTCATGTTCTTAAGCAGGCTTTAAAATATCGCAATGGCTCTCCATATATTTCTTAAGATTCATCACGATTATGCTCAAAGCTCAAAAAATCCAGAACAATCCCATAAAATATACATATAAATTCTTTATCAGGCCGACGAGTTCTCTGTTTCTATTGATGAAACAAAGTGGGCAACAAATTTGTCGGAATCGGAGCGCTATACCATATATATATCCCCCAGAAATTGAGTGAAAGCATGAAGAACTTCATCATCAGTCTTCTATATCGACAATCCAGGAATAATTTATTATTATCTATACTACGTTTGAATTGTATCGAATTTTTCATATAAAATTTATTGAGTAAATTGTTTAAATATTGATATCACGCGAATAACTTATAGCTATAATACATTTATATTTATATCCAATAACAGTGCACTAATATAAATTGCACTAGATTGCGAATTCCAGCTGCCGCGTTTCAATCGCAATTATGATTAAATGACAAATAATAATAATCGAGCACATCATGACAAATACATAAAGAATAACAAATTGCTGACTCGACTGAAGCATCAACTATTTATTTTGATCAGAGTCAGATGAAACAGCCGAAGTTAGCGGCGGCGTCGAGCGTCCATCGAACTGCTGCTGATTGACCAAGCGTTGCCGTTCTAGATACATGGATACCTTGATGTTGCGCACCTGATGGTTATGGATAAGTTTTAGCAGCGCGATGACACCAATGCCCACCGAAATGGCAAATGCTCCCCAGGCGCCAAACTGCAAGTAAATCAAAACAATATTAACCTGTATACGGATGGCTCGGAAGCAAGTACCACTTACCTGGGTTGTGCCCATTTCAATGTAGAATCCTGAGGTATTGATTTTCTCCGTGTTGCCTCGTATAATGTTTTGTCCAGCTGAGGTTTCGCATGATGGAAAACGTTCGGTCATGCCATCGCACCAGACAATGAAACCCATCGTTATGAAAATGGCGGAGAAAATCGACATGGCCAGCATCCAAATGCCGAGCACAACATCAATAAAGAGTGCAATGAACGACGCCTCCTCCTTCATACGCGCATATCTGGAAAGGACAACAGATTATTAGGCATGTTCCCCCTCGCATTGCCAATGTAGATTCCTACCGGTAGATTTGAACAACTGAGATGATCAGCAGAAAGATGCCCGTGATTAGTGGAAAATTGCAGAATCCATTTGAGGCCCAATGTACATCGAACATGCCGTCCTCCTCCCGCCATTTGCCCGTTGTAAAGAGCAAGCAGTGGCCGCTGTTTAAATATTTTAGTTAGTTAGTCATTTCCTAATGAAAACTACGTCGTTGAATACATACCAAAATTGATCGAGATTTATTGATAGCGGCAGCACAATGCACAACGATAAAATGAATAGCAAAACATGTCCCGCTATTTGGCTAAGCAAAAGTACATTTGTCAGAGCCATTTCTGCATATAATTTGCAAATTATTTGTATCTATGTGTACACTTGTATATTATTGTTTGGCTCTAAACAGGGTTGGCAGCAAAACACAATTATTACGTTAAACAGCTCTGCTAACGCAAAAATGTCCGAAAAATTCAACGAAATACCAAAAAATACCAAATAACTAAAATATATACCAAAAACGCCTTTTTTAATATATAAAGCTTTTTAAAGGCTCAGTGCTTAATTATAAGCTTCACTTTAAAATTATTTTTCTTAGAGTGCAGATTTAAATAATGAGAATGCTCAATAATCATTGATTGATTGGCCGCGGTATAATTGCCATACCACTTAATAACATTGGCAAAACCATCTAAAACAAAAAATAAGAATATATGAGAATTGCTTGGATAATACATCTAATACTAATTATTATATAGTAAATTCTGCAATCAGCAAATCGCTTTCTGCTACAACTACTCTGAACAAAGAATATTAAGTTATGTATTGAAAATTCTGCTGTCATTTTTAGTACCAATTTAAAGTGCCCGATTTGGTAATGAGGGAATTTTAATCATTTAAAACTTTTTTAATAATAAATAATTTGCCTTTGTGTGCCTTTAAACCCTTAGATTAGATATAAACGTATATTAATTACAGTTGTACACAACCCATTTTAAGTTTTACGTCATTTATATTTAAAGATTGTTGAAAACTCTGCACGGCTAGTATTTTAATATAGTTCATTTTTAGGTCAGCTTCGGGAATTGGGCAACACTGCTCCGAAAATCGTAAAAAATTGTTAAATTTGTTTACATTAAATTGGATCTCAAAGCAAGGTAATTGTATATAGAATTTTGAAATAAATTTTACGAAATGGTGCAAGCAGCGTTAATAGCAGGTTACGGGTCTTGTGTAACTAATTGTTCGCCCGAAAATCATGTTTGTGTGTGGCAAATGCAAATGAAGTGGGAACAAAGAGCAATTAAAAAGATAGTGAAAATGAAACGAATTGGAAAACAAGAATTGCATTGCTTTCTCTTCTCCTCTGTCTTTCACTAAGATAACGCAATGAGATTGCATTAAGCTATTGCGCGACAACAAGGTGAAGATCGCATTTGTGCATTTAACATTTACTGAAACCCATTTCACACCCACAGCTAACGCAGAAAGAACGACGACGGCGCCCACACACGCACGTTCAATTGAAATAGGGAGCTGAAGCAAAAACAGCTGCAATTCAATGTTTTGTTTATGAGCTATGGCTATGTAGCATTCAAAACGGCAGCCGAGCAGTGGAGCAAGAAGAGCAAGAGCAAATGTCCGGAAGCGAACAGCAGAAGCAACAAAGACGACAAAGGTGCGTGCCGTTAAATGCGAGGAGCAACACCTTGTAGCAGAAAAAGAACGTGCTGTGTTAGCGTACGAGAGTGCAAGCAGTTAACAGACAGGACAGACCAAACCGGGTTGGCCAGTGACTTTATTGTCAAGGTAAGCACGGAGAGCATTGCATAGAGTAAGCTATATAAATTTGCCACAAATATTTTGCAGTACGCATACGCAGCATTCGCTGGACGAGATACGCTTGGCTGGCTTTTGATTTACATGCTAGACAAAAGATCCTTTAGACTTCTTTTCGTTGTTATCTTATGTTAATTGAACCTAGATCATCAACGTGCACTGCCATTAACTATAAACAACAAATATACATAATAGATATCGCAATTGGTAGACTTAAACTTAACAGCAGCAGCAGCAGCTTCAGCTAAAATGTCCAACAACTCCCACTACAACCATCACCAGCAACACCACAACAACTACCAGCAGCAGCAACAGCCGCAGCATTCCAATAGCAACGGTGACGATAGACATGAGGAGTATCACCAGCAGCAGCCAGTGCATTACTCGCAGCACTATATGAATGGGCATGGCATGAGGATCAAGCCGCTGGACAGTGTCGCCGTGCCGGACATGTGCCTGTTCTGCTTCGAGGTGCTCGACTGCGAGTTGAACAACATTGACGGTCCAGGTGTGCCGATGTTTAGCAACGATGCCTACCCGTTGTTTGTGACCTGGAAGATTGGACGTGACAAGCGCTTGCGTGGCTGTATTGGAACCTTCAGCGCCATGGAGCTGCACAACGGACTGCGTGAATATGCGCTGACCAGCGCATTCAAGGACTCGCGGTTCGCACCCATCTCGCGCGACGAACTGCCCAGGCTGACGGTGTCCGTATCCATATTGCAAAACTTTGAGGAGGCCCAGGGTCATCTGGACTGGCAACTGGGCGTGCACGGCATACGGATTGAGTTCTTGACCGAGCGCGGCTTAAAGCGCACAGCCACCTACCTACCGCAAGTGGCTACCGAGCAGGGCTGGGATCAGGTGCAAACCATAGACTCGTTGTTGCGCAAGGGCGGCTACCGGGCAGTCATCACTCAGGACCTGCGCAAGTCCATCAAGCTGACACGCTATCGTTCCCAAGAGATCCAGATGCACTACAAGGAGTATCGTGAGCACTTGGAGCGTCGCGGTGTTCAATTTGGCAAAGTGCAATGCTAACAATTAGACAACCAAACGTCGGGACAATGATCCTGGCTGAGGGCAGGCGTCATTTTCGTCTTGCTCCTGCTATTGGTGGCCATTGAGTTGACTCAAGGAATGGGACTATTTACGAGCGTATTTCTCTACTCCTGAGCAACTGTTCAAGTTTAAGTTGTCCTGTTGCGTCAGCTATATTCACTGATTTAAGTTTTTCTTACAAATATATTTTTGGTCCTTAACTGGGATGACGTGTCGTCGCAGTAAGCGACGCGAATTTTAAAGTACTTTTTATCAAACAACAAATGCTTATCTACCTAGCTATTTTGGGGAGGAACAAAAGAAAAGAAAACACAATTCATTTACAGATTATTAGCTATTTTAAGTTCGTTATTTTTGTTCAATTGCTGGACTTTTATTACAAATTCAATAATACAAAAAAAAAAAAAAAAACAAACAAAAACTAAAAACAAATATACATATGCATATGCATATGTAATATAAAAAATACAAATACAAATAATAATTCAATTAAATAGTTCAACAATTATATATTTCATAGTTTTAACAATTACAACAAATTACCGTACTAATTCTATGCGCAATAAATACAATGTCGGCTATTTTCTGCAGAGCCGCACAAAGTGAAGCGAACTATGGAATCTTGTTTTGCGGGCGGGTCGAAAGGCAATATCATAGAGCTCATTAAATGGATCCCAAGGCAACAACAGTTTTCATATGATATACTTTTTTTATTGTTTTAATTACTGGTCGATATTACATATATATATTTTCTGTTAACTTCTAAAACAAATTCAATATCTATAAGCTAGTATAGGTGATCTATATGTCTCTGTCCAAATATAAGAACATGCCTCTCTGGGGTTTGCTTGATTTTGTCAGATATAGCTAAATAAAACTGCGCTACGCTAAAGCTAATCAATATTAAGCATAATTGAGCCAACGGGCCATGCTAAAGCTAGATCAAAGCAGCAAAGGATTACTGATGATAAGGCTAAAAGTGCCCATTTATAACTACGTATTGTTTACAATTATTGTAGATAGCGTATACATTGCAGCATCTTATAAAAAACGTACGAAAACACTGAGCCGATTGGCTCAATTTCAGCAACTGTCACCTCTTATAGCGTAGTAATGCGTAAATATATGCACATAAATTTTTGTATGCTTAAATTTTAGACATGGGCTTTCAATTTATATGATTGGCAGTTATACAATTGTCATCAGTGAATATATATATATATATATATCATTAAGAGCAAACAATTTTACAAACGCTTTGGCAGCCAATTCCATAAACTTAACAATTTACGTATGTTTGCATATGTGTGCGGTTCTGTGTTTGGTCGTCTGTTGTTTTTTTTTTTTTTGAATTGTCTTTATCAGTCTCAATGCGTGCACAGAAACTGCTCCAAGCACGGGCACTAGGTGGTCGACAGCACATTCCACTCAAATCGCGGATTTTTCGAGTGCGTGACGGGAAGGCAATCGGGTTCGACCAGCTTCCAGATACCATCCATTTGCTCCACCGTGACCAGGCTACAGTAGGGTATTTTGTGTATAACCTGTCGCAGCTCACTAGTGCTGCGTGCCGCGCCGCCCGTCAGCTGACGCGAGCAGGTGTCCAGTGTGGTGGCATGTGCGACAATGAGAATATTGCCAGCTGTAAGCAAAGTTAAAGACTATATATGTGTCTGCTAGGTGCGGTGCTTCAAAGTGACTCACTCGTGCGCTCGAGCAGCTGCAGCAGAACCTTATGATTGCGCATATAGAACTGCTCCGTGGATTCCTTTAACTGGGCTGTTAATTCTGCGGCCTGTTGCACAGGCTCATAGTTTAAATCAATGTCGTACTTGGAGTCGATCAGCTCGCTGATGCTTAACCAATCGGGTACGCCATTAGGATACCAGGCCATCCATTCAAAAAGTCCCGGCTCCAGCTTGATTTTGTGGTTTCCACTCAGTTTGAGGCCCTCCAAAGCGCTTGTACAGGTTTGCACGCATCGGTATGAGGGCGAGCAGTACACATGATCGATCTGGACCTTTGCCTCGAATAGCGCCTCGCCGGTGAGACGCGCCTGGTAGAGGCCAACGTTTGTCAGCGGTGAGTCGTTCTGCCAGCCATCGGGGCTGTTTTTACGATGCGGCAATACCTTGGGCATGTTTAGATCCTTGCGCATATAATTGCCGAACTCATCAAAACAATAGGGTATCCAGGTGCCAAATGTAAAGTCCACCCGTTCGCCATGGCGCATAATGTACACCTTGCGGTTACCGCTGTGCATGGCATCCAATGTGTTGGGCAGCAAGGAGTGCTCGTGGTCCGAGTGCACGCTGAGCGTATCATCGGGTCTAGGCGGCTGCACCGCCAGTGGCTCCACCATTATCTCATCAATGTTTTTAGATACCGAATTAGAGTTCGAAGACATATTGGCGGTGATCTCAATTGTAGGCGTGTGTGGATTGTGCGGATGTGTTAGATTGTTACTGTTGAGCAGTTGCACCGACGGCAGCTCCAGGCAGGGCTGCAGTGTCTGTCGCAAGTATTTCTCAACGCTCTGTTCCGATTCCTCAAACGAAGAACCCTCTATAATCTCCGGATGTTGCGCACCTACACATTGGGAATAAAATATATATGGCAGAACGACTAAAGAGAACTTGATAAGTTTTAACGTACTTTGCTGCAGTTCGCGTTGACGCTCCTCGGGCTCCGTGGATATGCTGCGCCCGTCTACAATATCTAGATCCTCAGCAGAATTCAGCGAGGATGCTACACTCTTGGAAAGCTGAACAACACGATGCAGCGTCCAGGCATCTGACTCAGCAGTGCGTTCCGTGTAATTGACCGGCAAGTGTCCCGTGCTGCCTGTGAGCCACGATATGCCCTCCGCCCAGCCGTCGCAAGAGCTATCAACTCCCTCGCTGTTTAAGTAGATGTAGTCGCCAATGCGCAGTTCCAGCTCGTCCGTTTCGTGCGGATTATGGGGATATATCACCTTCTGCACCTATAAATTATTAATATTCATTTAATTTCCTTGGTCCAGCGGGTGCAAACTGTGCGCTTTGCTGTGCTAACTTGTTTGGTGGCGAGTCGTGGATCGCGGGAATACAGTCGCAGTTCCCAATTGGAAGCGCAGCTGGCATCAAGGGTTTCCACAAGTGATTTCAGTGCATTGAATTGTGCCTGCGGGAACTGATAGGCGAGCGTCAGGTGCAGGCTCTTTACGTGTGGCTCGAGTGATATAGCTACGGGCAACAGAGTGTATTAGACGAATGTCTGGGAAAAAACCCCACAAGCTAGTCCACTAATCTACGAATGAGTGTGTCATGAGTGTGCATATTTTCCTGAGATAAGGCATTCGTAAATGTGGTCACGTTACGATAACAAGTGTAAACCGAAAGTGTTATGATCTACGCATGCGATTGATAATCAAAACTACAAATCATTTGAGGGAATACGAGTGTGAGATTGATAATGAACTGATAACTGATAGCGGTTAGTTTATCTAAATTAATGAGGCTTACATCGACTGCTGCGCGGAATACAGCGGGTACCCGAGGATACTGCTCCGCACCAGGGAAAGCAGGCCACAATGGCGTCCAGCTGCTCGTAAGTATCGCTTATAACTGTGCTCCGTTACCAATATTGTTGTCCATTTCCAGCAGTTAGTGTGTGGGCAGGGCAGGCAGAGGGATAGGAAGAGAACGAAACCGTAAGCCACGCCAAAACTGTACAGAACCGAACCCAGCGGCATTAAACAGATAACCAGATAAATAGTGCAAAACAACGAAGAAAATAAAGGAAAGGCAGTGCAACTGCAACCAAACAAAAATTGCAACGGACGATGCGGGCATACTTGAGTTGGACACCTCCTTAACATATTGCAAGGCCAGACGCTTCAAGTAGTTGGCATCATCTTCGGCCACAAAAAATCCCATAAAGTTTTGGCTCATGTATGGCTCCAATTTGATGGGGCGATCTAGCAGTGCGCCCGTCATGTCCACGACTTGCTTCAGCGCCTTGGACAGCTGCAAGGAGCATTCATCGGGTGCCTGGCCATGAAATTGGGCATTAACAATTTGATAAACATACAACTTCAGAACTGGCTCACCTTAAAGAAGGAAACCAGCGTTATGTGCGGCACATAGTTGTGCGCTCCATTCCAGCCGCACACCTGGCGCGACTTTGACCAGAACTCCTCCAGCTGCTGCAAGAATGGCCCAGTTGGGCACGCGTATATGATGTACTCGCGTGGCGCGCACTCGTCCAACGTCGGATCGTTTACGTGGGCCAGCAACCAATCTGAAGCAATTTGCACGCCCCTGTTGCCGGTTGAAGCCAGCGCCTTTTCGCTGTTGGGGAGTTGGGGGGATATGTGATAAAAATAATCAATAAATGACGCTGCACTGGTTTCAGTTGTTTTTTTTTTTTTGTATATGATTTAGAGTTATGATTAAGCACAACTAGTTACAGCTGACACAAGGCGCTTTGTGGCGCTGATACCTACGCTCTATGCTTCTGGAAGCCCATTTGCAGCAAGGTTTGTAAAGGAGTCAAATGCGGCTTCATCGTTTGGCAGATGCGAGTTGGTGTTTGATTTTTACGCGGCGGCAGCGTTGCCATGTTTCCTTATATTGCAGTAACTTACGAATAGCTACGGCACACGCGGGATTTGTGTTTATCAACTACAAATTTTGGTATATTTAATGTTCTAACTAGTTTTGCTACAATTTTATTGTTTTTCGTTATGGCAGTGTGACCAACGCCAAGTCTAATTTTAATAGGTGGTAAATAGAGCTGGCACTATCGGTAAAATTTATGGGTTTGTCGATGGTGAGATCAACTAAATCAATTTCTATTATTATTAAATTATGATAATTGTATTTTTATTAATAATTTTTCTGGTTAGAAACGTAACTTAAATTTGAGTTATAAGCTCTCAAATCTGGTTGCCTTGAAATATATCCAATGCTTCTTTTTATGTGATTTTATGTTATTTTACATTCCTAATCAGAAAGTAGCACTCCTCTGCTAAGAGTGGAGTAATTATGTAAACCGCTCTCTTGCTCCGTGCTCTGTTAACTTATTGTATATGCTAATCGTCTATCGATTAAATGCAGTATCGATAATATAGTTGATATTGGCCAAAAATTTGTAGAAAACAAAAAAATTAACTGCGTAGTTGAGTGGCAATAAAGTGCGTTCAAACAATTAAAATACATCGTGAATAAAGTAAGTTTTATATCAGGTGTTTGTGGTATATTGTAAAGTGAAGAAACGACGCTATTCGAGACAAAGACACGCTGAAAAATTGTGTTACGCAGCAGTAAAAACACTATGGAAAATGCCAGTGGAGCTCAGACACAGAGAAAAACATACATACAAATGGATGTACATACATGCATACAAATGTTATTGTAGTGGTGCGCAAAAACAAGTCATTTGTGGGCCCCCAACGGGACGGGCGGAACGATGCGAAGATGGCAATTTTTTGTAGCTTTCGCACAGTTTTGATTGCATTTGTGTTTACATTAATTTTTTAAATGTTACTCAGCCTATATGCTGTGATAAATATGGGCGTTTTCCTTGGGCCAATTATTGTTTATGTTGTTTTGCCGCAACCAGCATAACTTCCTGTTCGATTCAGCCTTGTTCATGGACTTTGTCATCATCGTCACTTTCTCCCTTGCATACGCTTACTATCATTCTTTCTATTATCGCTTCGATGCGGGCTCCCGTTCCAACCCCGCGCCTGCCTCCGCGTGCTCCGTGCAATGGTCAGTCATTGTTCGGAGCATGAGTCATGTGCGTAGTGTAAAATCAGAATTTTATCATTTAAGCATGCCCGTGGCATTGCTCCAATTAGAGACCAGATTTGTTCGATGTTGCTGGGCTGGTAATCCGAGGCGTTTCAGATAAGCGTGTAATTGAATAATGCCCAATAAGTTGCTGCAAAAGTACATTTTCAACAATATGCCAATATATGTATGTGTTTGTCTATTTTGCAGGCAGCAGCGCTTAAACGGCAGCTACCCAAAAGCTAATAGGCAAGAAATAGCAACAAATAACAAATATCGATATGGCCAGCAGAAAGAAATCTTTGCTGAAAGTCATCATACTTGGCGACAGCAGCGTTGGCAAAACGTCGCTTATGAATCAATATGTAAACAAACGCTTCTCCAATCAGTATAAGGCAACGATCGGAGCGGACTTTTGCACGAAAGAGGTTGTTGTCAACGATCGCGTTGTCACAATGCAGGTGAGCAAATACCCAGAACTCGGCAATTGTTCGAAATTGTTTATTGATCGTTTTGATTGCTTCCTAGATTTGGGACACGGCTGGCCAGGAGCGCTTCCAATCACTTGGCGTGGCCTTCTACCGGGGCGCCGATTGTTGCGTGCTCGTCTACGATGTGACGGCGCCAAACTCATTCAAGAATTTAGACTCGTGGCGCGATGAATTCTTAATACAGGCCAGTCCGCGGGATCCAGAGCATTTCCCCTTTGTCGTGCTGGGCAATAAAGTGGATTTAGATAATCGTCAAGTAAGTAGTCAAACAGATAAGCATGAAATAAAGTTGGGTAGTGGTTGGGTAGCTCCTATAAGAGATGGGCGCAGTCGTCTCATACACGGCCTATATCATGAAATAGGCTCTATGATCTCGCACCAAGGGGCTTCAGGATCGCCCGGGCCTGTCCTCAAACGCATGGGAAACAAAGCCTAAAAAGGAATTGAATTGAATTGAATTGAAGCCCTCGCCCTTCTTATCTCAGGCTATTTGAGCTTAGATTCTTTATCGTCCAAACATCATTGTTGACCTCCGAGGCTGGGACTCTGCCATAAAAGATTGATTATGGCATAAAGCACCCGCAGATTAAGCAAAGTCATCGTTTTTTGTTTTTGTGACAATGAGCTACTCGAAATACTAACCGAAGAGAATCAACAGATGACTGATTTGTTTTTTATGCCCTCTACTGAACCGAAAAATTGTTTGGCTTGTATATAATTTTAACTGGAAATTCAAAAACAGTTTAGTTTAGTGTATGAAATAAAAACTTATAGGTATATTTTATTAATTTTTATAAAAGTTGTTTATATTCATTGCTCTCCTTTTTATGGCTATGATTTAACATTTATAAAACAGCTGTACATTTATTCAGCTGTATTCACATTCGGAATGTAGATAATGCAGTATCTTTCAGTTGTTTGCTTAAATTGAATATCTTGCTCGTTCCAGGTATCCACGCGCCGTGCGCAGCAATGGTGCCAATCGAAAAACGATATACCCTATTATGAGACGTCGGCAAAGGAGGGCATTAACGTTGAAATGGCGTTTCAGACCATCGCAAAGAATGCCCTGGAACAGGAAACGGAGGTAAGTTTTTTGAGCTATAAATGCTTGCATTGATAACTCATATCTTTTGGTATTTCAGGCTGAACTCATAAACGATTTCCCCGATCAAATACGCTTGAACTCTGAAAATAATCGTCCAGGCAACGCTGACAATTGTCAATGCTAATGTAATATTATATTTTTACGGGCAGCAGCTGCGGCAACAGAATACAACGCAAAGTGCATAATTACACAATCTATATTATAAATAAAAACATAAATAATACATAACAGCATATGAGTATAAAAAGCAAATATGATGTACGACAGCAAGGTTATAAGTTTAAGTAAAACAATTTCAATAACAGCATAGATATAATGAGATAGGATGCTAAATTCTGTTTATCAATCCATTAAATACATTTACATATTGTGCGCGCCCTCCTAGTAATATTTTGCCTTTAGTAAAATTATTGCTCTCAACAGATGCAGCCGTTGCAGAAAATAATAATAACCAGAATCACCAACAACAAATCGAAAACAAAAAAAATTCTTGTGATTGTAAATTTAATAAAACAAAAATATACATTTTTATTGTAACTAATTTTATATACATATATATATATATATTACTCTGCACATGCAATTGGCGATTGACAATTTATTGGCTTAGCTCAGTTTCCAACTCAATACTAATCAATTTGAGCATAACTTTGATTAATTCACTTTGTTAGTTGTAGAGTATTATAAATAATTGCTCCACTTTGGTAATAGATGCACAACGATTGTGTATGCTCTATACTATGTAATTTTCACGTTTTTTTTTTATTTACCATTTTCATACTTTTGGTTTAATTTGTTTAATAAACATTGAAGAATCAACAACTATTGATACAGCCAAAACTTAAACAAATAAAACTAAGTTGATTGCAATCTTTTGGACACTGCCATAAATTTCAGAAAGTCGGAATTCTCAAGAACTTCGATAGCGATATCATAAATAGCGATATCATAAATACATATTTAGCTTTCATAAAACGATTCGAATGCGCGCACTCTTGTACATTCATTGCAGCCGACCACAAAGCTTTAGCTTGTTCACATATTTTATATATTATGAAAACTCACTCTCTTCACAAGGAAACAAACCATGCAGAAGCAGTTGCTGTTGCATTACCAACGCGATCACAAGTCAAGGCATACAAAAAACAAGCAGGTGAGTTAAATTCTTGGGAAATCGAAGAATATGACTCGCGGATGTACGTATATATATATATTAGTTGATAATCATCGATGAATAGCCACAATCTTGGCTCGCATGGATCTTGACAGACTTTTTGTCGTTCTGAATGGTTTCGAGTTTCGATTTAATTTTTATATATACAAGTTGATTACACAACTAATAATACTACTAATGCTTGTCACTATCTGATTGCTATATTTATATATCTGATTGCTTTATTTATATATAGCAATCAGATAGCGACAAGCATTAGTAGTACTACTTAAAAAATCAATATTATTAATAATACTTTTTTTTTTTAATTTTGTGGTTATTGCGGGCTTTCGAGCAAATGTATTTAATACTGATTCATATGTTCCCTATAAATCATATTATGCTCGACCCGAAATAGCATGTCCGATCACTCTAAGCCATTGCTTAAGATCCTAGTCTTGGGAGACTGCGGCGTTGGGAAAACCTCACTGATGAATCGCTATGTAAACAAACACTTTACAAATATGTATAAGGCATCGATTGGAACAGACTTTTTTAGCAAAGAGGTTGTTGTTAACAATCGCATGATCACAATGCATGTAAGCCTGAACTTCGCTTCGCCCATCTTTGTATATGTGCTGCTTTATTGTCGCGGACTTTCTTTTATCGAGTTTTGGGACACGGCTGGCCAGGAGCGCTTCCAGACACTAGGCGTGGCCTTCTATCGCGGCACGGATTGCTGCGTGCTCGTTTACGATGTTACATCTCCGAAGTCATTCAAGAATTTGAACTTGTGGCGCGACGAATTCTTGATACAGACCAGTCCGCGGGATCCCGATAGTTTTCCCTTTGTTGTGCTCGGCAATAAAGCAGATCTAGATGAACAAAATGTATGTCAAATTGGTAAACTGTGTAATTTCTAACAAGTACGCATTTAAATTCAGGTACCGACCCGGGTCGCTCTGCATTGGTGTAAAATGAACAACATGCCCTTTTATGAGATCTCGGCAAAAAATGGCAGCAATGTGGAACAAGCGTTCGAGGAAATAGCAAAAATGGGATTGGAAGCGGTAGAGGAGCAACAGAAAGTCGAAAACGATTTTGAACCTGCCATAGTCCTAGAGCACGATGGTCCGCCTCAGAAAATATGCTGCTGCTGTTAAAATAATAAATACAATATAAATTCGCAGCATAATCCTTGCAAGTAATATCCCTTATCCTGAATCTGAATCAATTTTCTTATGTAAATTAAGTTTGAGCCACATATTTATACAACAAATAAAAATAAAATCAAATAAAAAATAACAATTTACATAATTGATAACTTAAGTTAAAATTTCAATTGCTTAAAAACTGAAAATAATTCAAATAATGTTTTTAATGTACGTTTAAACGTATTTGGCGGTTACTAAAGCTGGCAATACTTCAACAAGTTGGCAACGCCGTGACAAAAAGTGCTGCCCATAACTCACAAACAGCTGTTTAATTATTATTTTGCTATCCAACTACTTCAATAACCGAATTTCTGTGCCAAATGTCACCAGCTGCGCCCGTTCCACCCCAGCCCCCGCCGCCACCTAGCTTAAGCAGTTCGCTAACGAACATTCAAAAAGATCAAATCTCCGTTCCAGTAAATCGAATACCCAACGATGAGTGTAGCTGGGCATTGGATTACCCGGAGTTGCAAAAGGGTTGCTTTCTCAGCCGTGTGTGTCAATATGCACAGCCCAAGAGATGCCAATTCTATGCCATACCAAGTTTTCTACAAGTTAGCGAGCTCTCTATGCTTAAAATATGTAAGTTAATAAATGTCTGCTTATAATTACAGGTAGGACCCACCTGTGGCCTAACAGCGCTAAGCATGTTGCTTAATGGACAGCCGACGGCAACGGAATTGCTTGCAGATGCCATTGCGCAAAAGTACACAATAAATGGCGAAATGTTTAGTGCGCAATATTTATATGAATTGACTCGGAAGCATTTAGACAGTGCTGACGCTTGCCTATTGCATGAAGGACTTTTGGATTGTGCCAGGATCGAAGAGCAGCTTATCGCTGGCGCTTGTTTATTGGTGCCGTATCCTTTTTCGAAAACTAATTCATTTTTTAGCTTTAAATCCAAAATGTATTTTGGGCAGCACTGGTGCCGCGTGTAGTGCTGCCAAGTATATACCAACTTTTGGTATTATTTAGTGCAACAAAGTGAACACAAGAAAACAAAATAAGTTTTCCCTTGAATTTAATAATCTGTTGTAAACTAAGAGTTTTTAAGTGTTCATCAAATGGCAACTGAAGAAGAACAGGTACGTAGACACCTAAACTAAATAATTAGCATACTAACATTCGTACTTGCAGCTCAGCCAGGTAATATTGCCGGTCAAAGAGCCGCTGGACCTAATTCGCCTCAGCCTGGACGAGAAGGTGTACGTAAAAATGCGCAACGAGCGGGAACTAAGAGGACGATTGCACGCCTTTGACCAGCACTTAAATATGGTTCTAGGCGATGCCGAGGAAACGGTAACCACCGTTGAAATCGATGAGGAAACCTACGAGGAGGTGTACAAGACCACAAAGCGCACCATACCCATGCTGTTCGTACGAGGAGACGGCGTCATATTGGTCTCGCCGCCCATGCGGGTGGGCTAGGTGTCGCCGGGAGTAAATGAACTGGTTGTTAAATAGGAACGCTGCATTTTTGCAAATTGTATTAGGATTGCTTCAAATAAAGTGCTACAAATTGTGTCTCATTAGTCGTCTTTGGTTGACCTTAAATCGAGGCATCATTTTAACTATTCAGTTACGATGCCGATGTCAATCATGCACCCTGCCTAAAGTCTGGTCATCGAGCCCATTGGGCGCTAATTGTGGGCTACCTCATTGATGACCAGGATAAGGTGAGCGAGCATATAAATATAGTAAATGTTCAGACTTAGCACGAACTTGCTCTTCTTGCAGTTTTTCGTGGTGGCACGCCATGGCAAGACTCGTAGCCTGGCGATATGGTCTTTGGTTTCGTTGAGCGAGAGCAATGCAAATCTTGTGGAATTCGCGCAGCCCAAGGGCCATGAAGGCTGCACGTTCCTGCTGCCGCCCGGCGGCATAGACGGTGCTCTTGGTCTCAAGGAACGCTCCATTCTCATCACTGCGCCGCCCCATCAATTGACCCAAGTGCGTTGATGCTGTAAGAGATCGGATGCCCAAAGAAAAACGGTTTTGGTTTGTCTTTAAATGTCATATATATATATATATGTATATTTAATAATACAATTATAAATTATACATCTTAGAATATTTGATTTTTAACTTCGCTCTCAATTGCAACGCGCCTGACATTCATCTTAAATCGGCAAAATGTTCGCACCCAATTGGTAGGTATATTGCTTGAAACGGATTCATTCCATATCTTTTCTATATAATGCATGCATGCATATATGTTCCTATACAATCTATGCATCGGCTGTTCTTCACACTATGAATTTTCAAAAATCACAACAATTAGAGTAGTACATATGTTAGAATATGCAGATTAGATAGGTATGCTTATTAAAGTATGTATATATATATATATATATATATTGTCTAAGTATATATTTAGTTGCACATACAGATGTCTGAATTTAGATAGTATATAGACGACGGGTTGGTTAAATATGCATTCACATTGGTAAGCAGTTGTAGTTATAGTATGCTGCATAACATATAGATACGATAGTTTTGTTTAGTTTGGTTTAGATAATGCCAGAGCATATATATATATATATGTATATATTACGCTGTTGCCATGGTGTGAGAGCAGAGTTGAGATCATGCGGCTCGATTTGGAGCCCTTCTGGCAATGCTCCTGACTCCAGCGTGGCACCTATTTACGAAAAAAGAGAACAACACGCTAACCGAAACCATTTGGCAAACCGTTTGTTAGCCAAACTAGATTTGAAAATTTGTTCTTGGTTATAAACTCTTGAAACGGCAACTACATTATTTAGTTTACTTGTACAGGATATTTGATACGCGTTAATTTGAACAATTGGTAAACGTTCGGCTTTTATAATTTCATTATGTATATTAACTATATAGCTATTACTTATTGGTAGAGTGTATATATATATATATGTGTGTGTGTGTATGTGTGGGTGTGTGTGTGATGCGTGTGGCTCGAAAATTTTGAGATAAATTCACAAATTTGCGTTTTGTAGACTTAAAAGAAAATTTACAAGCTAAAAGTAATTTATTAACTAAAAATTTACAAATATTAATTATAAAATAAATTAGCATTCTTCTTAGTTAATAAATTGAATTGCCGCGCATCTGTCCGGCTGACCCTGCTCTAACTGTATCTGTCTGCGTGTGCGAGTCTGCATGAGAATGGGGGCATTGGGTATATTGTTTGACTAGGTTAGTTCGGCACACGACATGGGCGTGCAGCCGATCAGCGCAATGGGAAAGTTCTTAACATGCGTTTGCCACTGCGACGACAACTGGAAGAATTTGACGCCAGTCCACTCGGTGCCATCGATGTAAACTGTGACGGTTAAAAGAAAGTAAAGGATTAGCATTGGTTCAGGATTTAGGATATCAATCGCGAGAAAACTTACCACGCAGTGGCACTGGATGCGACTGCTTGGGTGAGCATATTAAACGGGCAACACCTTCGACGCACTGCTCCTTTTCGAGATCACGCTCCTTGTCCTTCTTCTTGCCCAGGCGCATAACTGTTGATGCATATACGTTATAGTTATGGCTAATATAATTTAGTATCTCTTTGCAGCTTACTTTGCTTCTGCTTCTTCTCCTTGGTGGCGAAACTAACAGTCAGTCCATTGGACATATCACCCAGTTGCTGTGCATTCTGTGGCAGGCGCCACACCTGCAGATTCCTAAACGTACTCTTAATGCTATTCTTGCCGCCGCCGGAGTCGCTGCCGCGCGACATTCCGCCCTTTGAGTCCTTGGCATGCGACTCGCCGTGCCGCACCAGCGGCCAGTAGTCCACCTGCAGTTCCACGGCCTCGGCAGCAGCCAGTGCTCCACTGAACGTCTGCGATTGCAGGGACGAGGGTGTTACCAGCGCTTCATTTACGCCACGTTCGCGATGCGGCAGGCCCCCAGCTGGTGGCGTCAGCAGCGGTGGTGATGTGCGTCCCATACCCTGGCCAAGTTGTTGCTGCTGCTGTTGCTGCTGCGGCGGCGAGCCGGACACGCCACTGTGTAAACTGGACGAGCTCTGGTTGCCGCCAATAGGTATGGGCAAGCTGGAAGCATTTGCTGAACTGCCGCTGCCAGCGCTGCCGGTCATGTTGGATGCGGCGTTCTCCTCAAGATCCAGCGAGGCCTGCGTGTCCAGATAGCCAATGCGTACGTCCTGAACGGTAAAGTAAAGCAAATTAAAGACCAGGTAATATACTTTAAGCGGCTGTCCTTACGCTGACAAATGGCACAAAGATCTGGCGCGAGTCTTCGTCCTTATAGTTGACCATGGCCTCGGCAATGGGTATTTGCGTACAGGGCCCGGCCGCATGCAGATAGCGCTGTATGCGCTGCACCAGCTCCGCAATGTCCGACTTGGCCACAGCAGCCGCATCGGCCAGATTGGCCGTCAGCGCCGTGGCATTGACTGTGGTCACGGCGCTGACTGCCGCCGCGGTGGCTGCCGCACGTTCGCACAGCTGCGACCAGTTCTCGGAGCCGAACATCGCAGCATACGCCTGATCCATTTGACTGAGATGGCGGGCCACGCTGCCGTTGCTGCTGCCGCCGCCGATGGGCACCAGATAGAAGCGCAAATGATTCAGCCAGTCGGGCGGACGCACGCCCATCAGCTCCACGTAGTGTCGCAGCGTGGCGCCTTGCAGCCAGTCGCCGCCGATGAGCAGCACCTTCACCGTGTGCGGCGGCTTGGCGTTCGAATTGCAACTAGTTGGATAAAGGAATACGTTTAAGTGGATGCAAATGGAATGCTGATTCGGCAGGTGTACTCACTACTTTTGAATTTTGGCCATGAGGGCCTGCAGCACGGCCTTGACCTCGGCCGTGTTCTGTGGCACAAAGGCCGGCTTTAGGGAATTGGCAAACAGTGTAATGAGCTTGGCCAGCAGCGAGCCGCCGCCCAGCGCCTCGGGCGGACTTATGATGGTCAGCACCTCGGGTATAATGTTGTCGTCGCCCGCAAAGACGCGGCTCAACTGATCCAGCAGCAGCTTGCGCGGCTCCACATTTGTGGGCGACAAGCATGCCTCCAGAGCCGAACGCGGCTCGGCGCTCAGGCTGAGCGTGTGCTTCCGTTTGCCCGCCGCCGCATTGCTGTTATTACCAGCGCTTGCGCCGCCTGCGCTGCCCACGGCCGGCGTATTGCTGGAGGTGCGAAACAAGCGCGAACGCTTCTCGGTCTGGCCCTGAGCCTGAGCTGGGCTCACGCTGCACGTGTTGCCCGCGATGGAGCTGACCGGTGTCAGCTGTTGATACTGTTGCTGGCGCAGATAATCCTTGTCCCTGGGCGGACTATTCTGGGGATCGGAGTTTTGGCCATCGGTGTAGCCGGCGTTTCCCTCATTACCGGAACTATCATTACCAGCGCGATCTGTCAAAGGAATATATGATCACAAATGATTAAGTCAGGCGTATCCAAAAAAAAAAAAAAAGAAACCCAACAAGAGACGAGGTACACATTGCGTGACGGGGTACTAGAGGAATACTTAAGTTGGGTGTGGTGCACTAGAGTTCGAATTATTATAAAAAAGAAATGCTATTAAAATACATGCAGGCAGGCACAGACATCCCTACCCCCGCTCCTGCCCTGCTTCCAACAACTAATGAGCCTAATGGAGAGTTCATTCCAAGGTGCTACGGTGCGTATGTGAGACGACGTTATATTGGTAAATAAATAATAAATGCGCTGTTCGTAAATAGAGTTAAGACTTTTTACTACCCGTAGAAGCCCTACGCACGAATGTGCATGTGTGTATGTACATATGTGTGTGTGCTCTCATATGTACACACATATGCATGCATACGTCAAACACCTTTAGACTGTGTGTGTGTGTGTGTGTGTGTTTATTTATATTTGTGTAGCGTGCTCCACTTGAATTTTCTGAGCAATGTCGCAATTAATCTAAAGGGGGTCACGGCGCAACATGCAAAGAATAAGTTGAGGCGAAAGAAGCGGCATTGACGCAGTGAGTGGAGTTTTAAAGGGTGTTATTAATTGAAAAGAAAAATGTATTTAATTATGTACTGATTTCTTTTTAAGGATTGTTGGTTTATTAGCACTAAACGCGAACAAGCGTGACATGCATTGTCGACAATAAAAAGTTGGTTCACTTTGATTAATGATAGTATGCAATAAAAAAGTCAAAGCGTATTTAAATAGCAGTTTCTGTACATTCGACTGGCGCTAAATGAGTGTTTTGTGTGACGTCACAACATTAACAGCGCTGCTAACGCATGCAATAACAGAAGCCAATGTGCGGTCACACTACAAATGTTAGCGCTGCAATTGCAAGTGCAACGGTGTATTTGAGCTTGTGTGTGTGTGTGTGTAAGTTCATTTTCTGTGAGCGAGCGAGTATGTGTAAGGGCGTGCGTAATGGTGGGGCAGGCCAAGGCTTTTAATTTTCAAAATTAACATAACAACTAATAAATTATTAATGTGTTTTTGCTTGTTTGCGTAAGTACAGTGCACATTGGATACGATGATTTGAGATTTTAATTAATTTATCAATTCATCAGTTTATATATCAAACGTGCCCTGTACTCATTTATTGTCTGAGGGGTTGGGTATGTATATCTTTTAGCTGGTAGAGTTGGGGTTTTTGGGCTATTATTGGTGTACTAAAAAATTGTGGATAATAAGTGTTGGTTTTTGTTGGTTTTTTTTTTGTTGCTGCAATTTACACAGACCTGGTGTTGTAGCCGAATTGTTATTGTTTGTTAAATGAATGCATTTTTGGTTTTTGTTATATTCAATATTGTAAGATGAATTGGTCAATTGGTCGCTCTTATCCGATGATCGGCGCTCAGAGTTTCCTGCAAAAGAAATTTGTACAAGCCATGCAAAATGTTTCTGTTTTTCTTTGTATGTGTATTAAATATAAATAGAAATATAATTATAAATATAGGAAACGATTAAGCTTTCCAATCGAATACGTGTCAGGTTGTTAATTAAAAATACATATTATACAATAAAAAAAAAAAAAAAATAGTATAATCAAAATCAATCGTAATTGCAATTATGTAGCATTGCCTCCAGTTACGCTCCCTTCCACTTTAACATACACACATACACACATGTATGTATGTTTGAATGTGTGTGTATGTATAATAAAGGCCTGTCACAATTGGACAAATGGTCAATTAAATTAACTGTAACTGTAAGTGAATCTCTCACTGGTCCTGCTGCAATTTCTCTCCCTCTCTTTCTGTCTGTATGTGACCTTGCAATTGTGTGTGAGTGTGTATGTGTGTGAGTTCGTTTCTGTGTATGCGTGTGTATACACACACGTGCGAATTCGTATGAAACGCAGCCTTGACCGAAAACAGGCAAAAAAAAGATTCAAGAGAAGGGTATAAAAATAAAACAGACAAATAGTTGTACGGCGAATTGGACATGGCCAAAAAGTGTTGCCTGCTTTTGGGCGGAAACAATTTCATTTTAGTGCCCCAATGACAAACGGAAATAGGCGCCATTTTTGCCGGCCTCATATATGTTATGTATATAACCTCATAAAGCTACAAGAATATCATCAATTGGTAGCTTATAAAATGCCCTGGCCAGGAGCAGAACTTACCCGTTGCTCCGCCAATGCCGCTGCCCGGGGCGCCGCTGCCATTGCCCGCGAGACTGTCGTGCAGCATTATCCGCGAGTTGGTGAAGAACGGACGCAGCGATGGCTTCGGCGTCGAGCCAATCGATATGCTGTCCATGTCTGGACCGGAATCATCGCCCTCGCAGCAGGAGAGCGACTCCAGCTCCTGGAAGAGTGCATCCAAATCGCGTTCACCACGCAGCGCCGCGGTACCACTATGTGTCTCATCCTCCAGCTCCTCGCTGGCCTTGAAACGCTTCAACAGCGCGACAATTTTCTGCTTAAAGTTGCGCTGCTGCAGCGAAATTGTCTGAAAAAAGGAATTTGAATAATTTGTTCGAAATTAGTCAAACAATTAGGAAACATAATATAAACAATAGGGACCAAGTCGTAATTAGACATTGTATAATGAAGGGTGCTGGGCACTTTACATCTTTAAATCGAAATGTAAAGGGCTTGCCATTTTTTGTATCAATGTGACCTATACGCTCCACGGAGACATTATTCCGGGAGTATTATTGCACAGACAGACGATTGACCTTCACACAGGGACCTTCTAAAACAGAATAGCCGATCTTAGATG